ATTTGGAATTCTGGAAGTATTCTGTTTCTCATATCCAATGCTGGAATACCATTAAAACGTACGAATCCAATCTTTGACTAAAACCTTCATAAAATTGTAATTGTATATTATTCTGAAGATTGTGCAAATGATTGCGCCATAATGACCACTCTATTGAGAATGTTTTGGTAATTGAAAAAAAGAAAAGACAAAATGAAGAAAAACGATCGATCGAAAAAATCTGCAATAATTAAAAATCTCTAAACAAGTCATAATTAAAGCATGGAACTGGAAATGTTGGATCAGGTGTCGGCGGGGAGAAATAACCCCTTGTTTACCTTGTACACCACTTGAGTTTTATGTATTGATCAGTGTGACGGAATATTACATATTAATTAGTGGTTACTAGTTAATTCTACTGACGTATATCAAATAGGGAATCGCCTCACACGCTGTCGAGTTGCAAACGCCTAGCAATTATTCACTGAAAGAAATACCTTGTAATTTAATTAATTAGTGTGCCTCGTAAATTTTTTGTGACTAGTAACCATTCTGATTACTGGCTAATATAGTGAGTAGAAGGCGTCTCGTGGAGCGGGGGTCGTATTCGAGGGCTGTTCAATAAATAATGTCGTCGGTGCTCGGAAAGAAGCAAAAGACATTTTTCAATGATTTAGTCTTAATTAACTTAATATTTTCTTTAAATTAAAACACATGTCCCTAAAATTTTTTATCCAATTTCTGATTGTTTTAGAACTCATTTTTGGACATGACCCTTAATATAGTGGAAAAGGCAGATCTTATGATTTTCTGGACTCGTTTCTTCCTTTTGAAAGGTGTTTTTCAAGTTTGGAAAATGCAAAGTCAAAAGGCAAAAGATTTGGCGAATATTGTTAATGTGAAAAAAAAACTTTCTATTTATGCCAAAAACTCCTTTACTCATCATGACCTGTCATGAAGAAATTTAATGTAGTGGATTCCTGATTCTGTCCCTTTCTCTCATTAATCTTTCGATTTTTTTTTTCTTTTTTTTTTTTTTGCATAAAAGTTGCTTTCTAGACTCTTTACCTGGTCGTTGTTTACTTGCAAAATTATTTTGTTAAAGCACATTCTGATTGCACACACAAGTACTCTGAAGAGATGCTTGAGTTTCTGATTGACAATATGTATGTGGTTTTTGGAGACCAGGCATTCCAACAATCTATTGGAATTCCCATAGGTACCAATTGCGCTCCGTTATTAGAAGACCTATATTTATATGAAGCAGAATTTGTGCAAAATCTTATGCGTGAAAAGAAGAAAACACTTGCTATGGCCTTCAACTTGACACTTAGATATATCGACAACCTATTGTCAATTAACAATGGTAGTTTCCATTCCTACGTCGATCCGATATATCCTGGTGAGCTTGAGATAAAAGATACCACAGAGTTTGACACAACTTTTCATACTTAGATATTTTACTTGAAAAAGACGTTAATGGTAATCTACCAACCAAGCTATATGATAAACGTGATGGCTTTAACTTTTCTATCGTCAACTTCCCTTACTTATGCAGCAATATACCATCATCACCTGCATACGGAGTATATACACATCTGTCTCAGTTGATTCGATACGCAAGAGAATGCTCTACGTATGAACAATTTCTAAAATGAGGTAAATTGACAAGCAATTTGATGAAACAAGAATATCACCAGTCCCGTTTAAAATCATCATTTCTTAAATTCTATGGTCGATACAATGACCTTGTCAGCGAATACAATTTATCTTTGAGACAAATGCTGAATGACATTTTTCATACTAATTGTAATTCCAATATTTATACACTGAATTGACGACGAATTTTTCTGTTATTTCCTGATCATGACAAGGAGCACACGGCGGATGTGACCGGTCAGCAGGGGATGCTCACTCCTCCATGGCACCAGATCCCACCTCTGATGTTTCGAGGTCCATGTTTGCTCTGCTCCTGTTTTGCATTGTTTTATGGACTTTGATACTGAATACTGTTCGTTATCTCCATATCTTTCTACTCTCCCAGAAAATAAACTGCCTCCCCGAACACAAATTTCAACAAGACCACTAATATTTAAGAAAATTGCATCTAAATCTGTTTATGTGCTCTTGCAGTTCTTTGATCTTCTCATACCTTTGCTGTTTTTGTCAAGTACATCTTATTGTAAATTTTGTTTTGAGGGTTTTAAGCAATAGATTCAAATTTCATTATCTTTTTGAATTTCAAACAAACGTGGATAACTACTACAATTACTGATATTTTAAATTAATTGTTTAGATATTCTTACACGCTATCGTTTTCACTCATTTTTCAAAACATAGGGTGACTTTGAGTTCTAAGCTTTTTTTTTTACTGTCAAACGTTTCTTTAAAACAGTGCGAACTACTCCCGAAATGATGTCTTTGACATTTGCCATGTGTCAATCATACAGCATCAGTGATTATTTGTTGAAATTTGGCAAACAGTACATTAGTTGCATTTTTGATGCCCATTATATAATTTTTTATCATTGAAATCCACCTGCTCATTTGTCTATAAAACAGACATTGGTTGCTGTAAATATGACATATTTCAGTGAATATTTCTTTGTAATTCTTAACGTGTTTTACAGTAACTTTAATGAAGCGTTTAATTTCACTCTAGTTTACTGATTATTTACCATTCATTTTTAGTGCATTATCTCGAAAAGCCCTTGTTTTCCAGCTTCTAACAATGAAACTATGTGATGAAAAGTGGTCATATAAATTGTAATAAATTCATTAAAGATTCAATAATTCGAAAATATGATATCTGTGTTGTATGTCATCCAGTTCAGGGCATTTTTTATGGAACAATCCTTGTAGATACGAGATAACCTAGGGAAAATTACTTATATACTAAGTATTCTAGATTAACCAATGTCGTCTAGTAAATCTACCCAATACCTAGTAAAACCAGTTTTGATGCAGTAGTAGTATGGACAGTAACTTTACTAGCCTTCTTTGTGACTTTAACTAGTTTTTTTTCAGTGTTGTATAAAGCACGTCAGCCAAAACAAGACTCAATGGTTAGCTGAAGGGAAAAAGAAACATCCAATACACACTTTGCATTAAACAACTTATGCGTTGTCATCAAAAATATCACCAAGGAAAAACGCTTTTTCTCTAAATGATATACTACCAACCATATTGCCTTGATTCAAGAATGTTTTCAAATATGGTTGATTTCTCCTTTTAATGTGAAACATATGGAGATAACGAACAGTATTCAAGATTAAAAGTCAATAAAACAATACAAAGTAGGAGCAGAGCAAACACAGACATCTGAAACGTTAGAGGTGGGATCAGGTGCCATGGAGGATTGAGCATCCTCTGCTGACCGGTCACACCCACAGTATGATCCTTAACATGATCGGGAAACAACGGAAAAATCAATAAAGATTTAAAATATTCTCTTGGCAAATGAGAACATATGATTTTCATAAGATTTAACATAACTTCGATATGATTTGGTGCATAGCTAAATAAAATATGATACCACACTTCTTTATGTTCAATTTTGGCTGTTGATTTTTAGAGGTATGTACTCTAAGACAAGTTGTATGAAAATTAACCTGCAAAGCTATGTCTTTTATGGAAGTTTTAGCTAGTTTATGATTTATTAAAGGTATTTAAATTTAAAAAAGATTATCAGTTTACCAGAAAATTTTGAAAGTTCGGACCTACCTTGGACTCATTGGACTCAATGATAAATTGTATTTGCTGACAAGGCTGTTAATATTCTTGTTTCTTCAATTTGATTGTCGATAATTTACCTCGTTTTAAACACTGTACATATGTAGAGCATGCACTTGTGTATCGAATCAAATGAGAGATATAAACCCTGTATGCAGGTGATGAAGGTAAATAGATGAAGTTGACGGTTGAAGTCAGTCAGAGTCATCACGTTTAATACAGAGCTTTGTTGTTTGCTTGCCATTAATGTCTTTTTCAAGTAAAAGATCCAAATATGAAACAGGTCAAAATATGAAAAAGTTGTGTCAGACTCTGTGGTATCTTTTATCTCAAGCTTACCGGGATATATCGTATCGATATATGGAAATAACCATTGTTAATTGACAATAGCTAGGTCGTCGATATATGTAAATGTCGAGATGAAGGCCATGGCAAGTGTTTTCTTCTTTACATGCATAAGATTTTGCACAAATTTTGCTTCATATGAATACAAAAATACGTCTGCTAATAACAGAGCGCAATTGATACCCATGGAAATTCCAGTAGATTGTTGGAATGCCTGGTCTCCAAAAACCATATAGATATTATCAATCAGAAACACGTTCATCGTTTTGATTCAACTTCAGAGTATTTGTATGTGCAATCGGAATGTGTTTTAATTAACAAAATAATTTTTAAAATGACCAATGACCTGGTAAATAAATTTTCAAGGTCCGTTTTTATTGAAAAAAGAGCTGTCGATGATATCAAAAAGCCTGCACTTGAATTTATCGTAGGGAATAGTTGTGTATAAAGTTGAAAAGTCTTTTAAGATTTTGGACAAAGTCTTCTTCATATATAACAGGGTGCATGCAGTTACGATCAATCAATCAATTACCCTGAGTGCGGAGTAGTAGTATGGGAATAAATGTGCAGCCTTCCAGCAGCAAGATGTGGCGTCTCCATGAGTGAAAAAATCCTCGAGAGGGACGTTCGACAACAAACAAGCAAACCTCTGGTACCTCTCTCATATTTTAATATACATAATGGACAGACACAATTAGGACAAGGGCTAACTCTGGTCTCCTTGTAAAAATGAAACAACTGGACACCTTTATTAGATACTTTATGTGATGTAGGACAATGACTCCCTCTGGTCACTGTTTGATATACATGTATTAATAATTATATATGGATTGCTTTTGGTCAACTTCTAATGTAGCAGAACTCTTGTCTCAACATACTAGAAGTTGACAAAAAAAATCCTTATTTATAAAGATAACCCTTGGTAACCTTCTGATAGGATAACACAGATCCACGTGTTTACGTAACAACGGAGACCAGATCATTCTTAAAAAAATATATTTTCTGTTTCTTTTATTTCAATTGTATAGGCTTTACTATAGTATGATTTATTCTACCGCATACTGTGGTTGCTGTGGACTATATTTTGTAGCGGTGTAAAAGTGTGAAGTGTGTGTGAATAAACAGGTGACGTTAGGTTCTGGTTGAACAAACTTTTAATCCTTTTGTGATTTTAAGATTATCTTCAGAGTACCTTGAGTAGAAGCAGATTCCTCATAAGGTAATATTTGTTGATAAATCACAAGATATGCAAGTTTCCGAGTTCCATTTATAAAGAAGAAGCAAATTGTTATATTATGTTAAATGTTTCTTAAATTTGGCCTGTTGTTACTTCTTTGGAAGAAACCAAAAAAAAAATCCTGATTGAGTGTACAAATGTATATAATTGAATACCAATGTATAACTGACCTCCTTCCCAGGGTAGTGCCCTATCCCTAGTCACTGTGGGAAATAAACTTTCTGTAACATCCTGTTATTACAGACTACTTTTGAATTACCCGGGAGAGGAAGAGGACAAGAGATGGGTATATTTTCATCAACAGCCCAACTTGATATATTATTGTCGGGGATTGTTGTGATTTTATTACATCGAAACTTTCTGCAAGCGGTCAGAGCTGTCGATGTTCCTAGCTTACATGATACGCTTGGACTTAATACAAAGGGCGCGAATGAGTACACGCCACAATTCACTGGTACGCCATACGAAGTGGGGGTGATAGAAAACATTCCTATGGGATCCATTGTCTTCCAAGTTTTTGCTCAGGACGCCGACAGGGGAGAAAATGGAAGACTTAGCTACGTGCTGCTACAGGGAACTCAGAACTTTGAAGTTGGCGAGAATACTGGGCTCATTCAAACACGCTCTATCCTTGACCGCGAAGTGGCGGATCATGAGATGCTTTTGGTGGAGGTGCGTGACCATGGTACTCCCTATAAGTCTGCTGTGGTTAAGGTGCTTGTAAGTGGAATTTCTATTTTAGAAAATATAAAATTTTGCAAAAAACACTCTCATGTCTTTGGAGTATGATAAGCGGTATACTGCTGTAAATGTGCAAGTATGTTTCAGAATTTTCATTTTTATCCCGACGACCAAGAATGGGGCTCAAACATATAAATCTTTTCCCCATATCTCCAATTACACACAAAAAATAATCCTTCTGGAAATTATTGTAGATGTCCTTTGGATGTATAAATGTTAGGTTTCGCATTTTTCTCTTTTAACCGAAAGAGCGCTTAATTTGATGGTGTTGAATGTATTGTCTTTTCGTGTTTAATTCAAACGCTTTTGTAAATTCATAAAAAACATATTGTTCAAGATGTCTTTTCATATTTATCTCTCATTCAAGATTGGTAAAACTTGCGAAAATGTAAAAGGTATTTATTATGGATAAAACTAATACGTATTGATGCCACATTCGAAATTCAATTCGTGTAAATGATGTACAAATAAACTGAAGTCTTGGAATTATTTGAAGAACTGCTGGGCCAGGAAAAACTATTTATATCAAGCACTGACTAAAGATAGGGGTACTGTGAGCAAAATGATACCCGCACCTCTCTTATGATTACAACGGCAAAGTTTGTTTTGCAATGGGAGACCCGAAAGAATTGTAAGATGAAAAGTAAAATAAAAGGTGTATAATGGCATTATGTAATAATAAATATGTGAAAGTATCAGCATATTTTATTCAGTGATATAGGAGAAGTTGCGAATAAAAGATGGGTACCCGTCAATAATGCTGTATAGAAAAAAAAATGGCCGTGTCCATGTTTTGCTCTGAGAAATCCAAAAGATGTGTTCGATCAAAAAGTTAAATATGAGGTGCATAATGGCACTATATAACAAAGATTCTGAGAAAGTCATTAAATTTCATTCAGTAGTAAACGAGGAGTTGCGGATAAGAAATGGATGGATGGACAGACACCACAATCACTCAATACCCTCCCCCCCCCCCTCCCCGCTTGTCAAGCGGGGGTATGATAAATAACAAGCAGATGAAAACAGAATCATCTAACACGACTAGATCTTCTAAGCTACTATATTCTAATTATTGTTAATATTTAATATCTGTGGTGTCCAGATAGGGTCATTAGCTAAAGCTCAACATCGCCTTCAGAAAAAAACACGCCGTCGAGCTATCACAACACTATGGAATCCGGATAGGGCCACGCAGTTCACTATCGCATCATCGCACCATCGAGATTTGAGTCGATGGTACGATGACGCGATAGTGCGATGACGATGAAGCGATGGTGCGATAACGATGAAGCGATGACGCGATAGCGCGATGACGATGATACGATGGTGCGATGGCGATGATGCGATGGTACGATGAAGCGATAATGCGATGACGCGATGGCACGATAGCGATGCTGCGATGGTGCGATAAACACGATATAATCGCATCAACTATCGCGCCATCGCATCATCGCTATCGTGCCATCGCGTCATCGCATTATGCTTCATCGCGCCATCGCATCATCGTCATCGCGCTATCGCGCCATCGCATCAATCGCACTAACCATCGCTTCATCGTCATCGCATTATCGCGTCATCGCACCATCGACTCAAACCTCGATGGTGCGATGATGCGATAGTGAACTGCGTGGCCCTATCCGGATTCCATACAACACTGACGAACACGCTGCCACGCTAACACAAGTTCACACAACACGATGTCGCGCTAAACACAACATTTATTTATTATGCATGTAGACACTGTTAGAAAGAAAATTGCAATCTATGCTGCCGTCTTTCATCTATTTTATGTAAACTGTTTGTCTTGTGTTTTTTTTTCAGGTCCATATTTTGGACGTAAACGACAATGCGCCTGTATTCTCAAGGAACCTATACAGCAATTTAATATGGGCTGGTGATAGAGTAGGACAAGTTGCGATGGGCCAGATCACCGCAGTTGATGCTGATATAGGAAGAAACGCTGAATTAACTTACAGCTTTGTCCACTCAAATACCCCAACCTGCCATCATTTCTCCATTGATTCTCAGTCGGGTGTGATCAAGATCGCTCATAAGTTTAATGAAGGGGGTTCCCATATACCAGCCTGCAACACAAGCGTTGTTGTTACTGATGGAGGTGTGCCCCCGTTATCGTCGACAGCAGAAGTCATAATAGTGATTGTATCCAATAACGATATTATATAGATAAATCAAATTAATGTGTATGTTGTTTGTAAATGTGTGTTTCAGGATTGGCATACATGTACCTAGATTAAAATTGCAGTTTCCAGGCCTCTCTGTTCTTAAAGTCAGGCATGGACATTCGTACAAATACCCTGGTATGATTAATATTTGCTCCTTCTCATTCAAGGGCTGTTCAATAAGTATTGCCATCGGTGATCGAAAGGAAACAAAAAATGCTTTTCATTCCATCAATACTTTATTCTTAATGATTTCACTTAAATATTTTCTTTTATTTAAAACACATGTTCGTAAAATTTTTATTTAATTTTTGATTGTTTTTACGATGGCTGTTCAATAAATATTGCCCTGAGCTCTATGACATGCAAAATAGAAACCATACGACATTAAGCCTGACTTTCTCATGACTGAATCTTTAATTAATTGCAGTTTATGTGACCACTTTTCACCACATGGGTTCACTGTGAGAAGCTGGAAAATAAGGGCTATTCGAGACTGCATTATAGATGAATGGTAAAGAATCAGTAAACTAGAGCGAAATTAAACGCTTCATGAAAGCTGCTGTTAAACTTGTTAGGTATCCCAAAGAAATATTTACTGAAATATGTGAAATTTATTATAGTAACCAATGTTTGTTTTATACACACATGAGCAGGTGGATTTCAATGAACAAAATTGATATAATGGGCATCAAAAATGGGTACCGTCCTTGGCCACAAGGACTTACAACAACCGATGCACTGTTTGCCAAAATTGAACAAATATCACTGATGATGTTTGACCTCCTTAAGACACATAGCAAAATTGATAGGCATCATTTCAGGGGTAGTTTACACGTTTAAGAAATTAAACATTTGACAGTAAAATAGCTTAGTACTCAATGGTCACCCTATGTTTTGAAAAATGAGTGAAAACGACAACGTGTAAGAAAATCTAAACACTTATTTTTAAAAATCAAAAGCAGTACTTATTCACGTTTGTTTGGAATTCAAACAGATAATGAAACTTGCATCCATTGCTTTAAATCCTGAAACAAATTTGCAATAAGATGTACTTGACAAAGACGGCCAAGGTCTGAGAAGGGCAAAGAATTGCAAAAGCACAAAAATAGACTTAAATGCCATTTAAAAAAAAATAAGTAGTGGTCTTGTTGTTCAAATTCTTATTCGGGGAGGCAGTTCAATTTCTGGAGAAGTCTCGAAAGCAAATTTTTGCCAAAAAAATCGAAAAGTTTATGAGAGGATGGAACCAGAATTAGGAATCCACTACATTAAATTTCTGTAATACAGCGTCCAAACCAACACGCCATATAGAGTAAAGAACTTTTGGGGATTAACAGAAAGTTAAATTTTTATCACACCAACAATATTCGCCAGATCGTACACTGAGGACATTATTTATTCAACAGCCCTCGTAGAACACATTTTTGATTATAGCCCTAATGGTTTACTAGAATATGGCAGATCCTATGATTTCCTGTACTTAATTTTTTTTTCTGAACTGTGTTTTTTTTAAAGTTTGGGAAATGAAACAAGTCAAAGTTTGAAAGATCTGGCGAATATTGTTTGTGTGACAAAACATTAACTTTCTGTTTATCCCCCAAACTCCTTTACTCTTCATGGCGTGTGTGTTTGGACGCTGTCATGAAGTTGTAATAAAGTTGAAAAGTCGGTTTATAAGCTGTTGAAAATTTTAATTTTATGCTCTTATAATTCTTTGCTCTTCTTATACTCTTGATTTTGCTGTCAAGTGCATCTTATTGTAAAATTGATTTGTTTTGAGGGTTTAAAGTAATGAATTCAAGTTTCAAAGTCTTTCTGAATTTCAGACAAATTGGATAAGGACAATTTTTGATTTTTGAAAATAATTGTTTTGATTTCCTTACACGTTGTCGTTTTCACTCATTTTTCAAAACATGGGGTGGCCTTTGAGTATTAAGCTTTTTTCTGACAAGTGTTTCTTTAAAACATTGTGAACTATCCCCAAAATGATGTCTATCAAAGTTGTTATGTGTCTTAAAGTCAATCGAACATAATCAGTGATAATTTGTTGAATTTTCGCAAACGGTACAGTGACTGTTCACTTGTAAGTCCTTGTCGCCAAGGACGGTACTCATTTTCGATGCCTGTTATACTAGCATCATTTTCTGTTAATTGAAATCCACCTGCTCATGTGTGTGTAAAACAAACATTGGTTACTGTAATAAATTTCACATATTTCAGTGAATATTTCTTTGGGATTTTTAACAAGTTTTACAGCAGCTTTAATGAAGCGTTTATTTTCGCTCTACTTTACTGATTCTTTACCATTCATTTTAAATGCAGTGTCTCGAATAGCCCTTGTTTTCCAGATCTCACAATGAAACTATGTGATGAAAAGTGGACACATAAACTGTTATCAATTCATTAAAGATTCAGTAATGAGAAAAATGTGAAGCTTAATGTCATATGATCTCAAATATGTACATCATCGAGCTCTTGACATTATTTATTGAACAGCCCTTGTAAACTGAGTCCTGTATCGCAGTATAAGTGTTGTCGCAGAAAAGATCCCTCCCTGCTCTATGGCCCCTAGTGCCGAGAAATTTGCAGCTCTCCATCGGCAAGTGGTGGCGTCTCAAAGTGAAATATAGCAGTATGTGTTTATGAGAAATGTCAGGGGTACTGAACAATAAAAAAACATTTTCGAAAAGTGTTGTTTATCAGATGTGGAAACTTGAATCCCCTGAGGTACTTAAGAAAATTTGAAAACACAAAATTTAACCAGAATCAGTAATATAAAAACGTACCTTTTGCCGTATTTTAAACAATGAAATATATGGAGATAACAAACAGTAAACTCTAAGGTTCATCACACAATACAAAACAGGAGCAGAGCACAACCCGTATATGTAGATGATAAAGGTTTATTGCTGCATAAGGAAAGGAAGTTGACGATTGAAAAGTTGGTCACCACGTTTTTCATAAAGCTTGATTACCATTAACGTCTTTTTCAAGTAAATTATCCAAATATGAAATAAATGTGTCAGACTCTTTGATATCTTTTATCTCAAGCTCACTGTGTTATATCGCATCGATATAAGAATGGAAATAATCATTGTTAATTGACAATTCGTCGTCAATGTATCTAAATGTCAATTTGAAGGCCACAAAAAGTGTTTTCTTCTTTTCACGTATAAGTTTTGGACAAATTATGCTTCATATGTGAATACAAAACTAGGTCTGTGATTAAAGGGGCGCATTTGGTACCCATGGGAATTCCAATAGATTGTTGGAAGATCTGGTCTCCAAAAACCAATAATTCGTCACGATAAACTTAATCTTAAGCTCTTTGCTACCATAGAAAGTTGCTATTTCAATAAAAATTGAACTCGTAAATCTTACTTACCTTATAATTGGTCATTTTGTTTTTAAAAAAAAATACATCCAATACATTCCCATTGTACACATAGTTGAACTTACTAGTAAATAAAAGGTTCAAGTCTTCCATTGCGCCACGTTGTTAGCAGATCAAGTTTTGCCACGTCACTCTTTTATTAAAAATTGAACTCGTATACTGAGTTTACTAACTTTATCATTATGATTGTTCATTTTGTAAAAACAAAAAGAAAAAATCCTGATTTCACACACAAGTACTCCAATGTTGATATTAGATAAAAGATGCTTGAATATCTTTTTTAGATGAAGTATTTCAACAATCTGTTGGAATTCCCATGGGTACCTATTGCGGTGTTAGCAAGCCTGTTTTTTCACATGAAGAAGAATTTATTCACGAACTTCTACATGACATGAAAAGAATAACTCTTGCTCCTGCCTTCAAATCAACATTTTGATTTATTGACGACGTTTCATGAATTGAAAATGTTTTCATTTCTACGCTGATTCGATATACTTCATTTGAACTAGGATTCGTGGCAGGTGTGACTTGTCAACAGGGGGATGCTTACGCCTCCTAGGCACCGGATCCCAGCTCTGGAATTTGCAGGGGACTGCGTTTTCTGCCCTCTTCATTGTATTGTTTATTTTTTTCAATCACTGTCCGTTTTCTTTGCCTTTTTTTAATACAAAATTTTTTTCACATAAGTGAGTGGGATTGGGCAGCAGGCAAAGCCTATTTTAGCCCTCTCCCTACAAGATCAAGATGAACACACAATATATCGATATGAAAATAAATATACAGACATAGTAACAAAGAAACAAGAGAAAAAAAAGTAGATAAAAAAAATTACAATGTAGAACCGGTTAGAAAGAGTTGGCATAAGTAACATACATGACAGTGTCAAATAAAACGTTTGGTTGCTGCGATGAAAGCATGTACTGCTTCAAATATTTGAATATTAATACCTAGTCCATGATTGGGACTACCATACAAAAGTAAATCAAGTTCATGAGTTTGATCACAATCAATAATATTTTGGATTGTTTGGAAAAGTACATTTCTTGGAGAGGTATACCTGGTATTTTGGACAAGCAAATAAAAATAATGATGAGCATCTTGAACAGAGTCAATACAGTATTCACACAATGGTGTTTCTGATAAAAATTGGTTATATAAGTCTGCCTTCAAATTACTTGCATTATTTCGCAACTGACAATGTATTATATTGTACTTTCGTTTTGCAAAATGATAAATTTCTTTACCTTTTTTACAAAAATAAAAATTTAAAAGACCTTTGAATGAAGATATACCAGGAGCATTTCTGACATAATCAGGCAAGATAATCCACAGTTTAACAGTTGATGGAAAGAAGCTTTCCATATATGATGTAGTTCTAACAGAAGGAATATTGAATTCTGCATCATTATTTCTAAGATTTTAGGGGTGGTTTGTAGGACGAAAAGGTTCAATCAGAGACTTAAAACGAAGGGACCGCCGACCCCTTCGTTTTAGGTCTATGGTTCAATCAAGTCATTTAAATATTTAGGTGAATAGCCATTTATGATTTTATATTTACATTTCCAATGTCTTTGTCCGAGGTAAAATTACAAATTGTAAATGTACTTTATTCCCCATCAATGTATGGGCGCGTTTCCAAAAAAAAAAAAAAAAAAAAAAAAAAAAAAACACGTGCAGGGCGGGACAAACAGCTAAACAGAAGCAGGGCTTGGAGCACGTGGATTGGCAGAATCAAAGCATGTAAATATAAGGAATAACTGTCTTATTTTTCAATTTCATGACGATGATCAATCGATTGGCTTGCGTGATAATTTTATGCATAAACGCCTTCGGCGTTTATGCAAATTATCACGCAACCCAATCGATTGATCACATCATGAAATCGAAAAATAAAACAGTTATTCCTTAAATAAAATAGTAGCAATTTACGTATTTATTCGTATGAATATTCCTCCTAGTCTGCAAAAGATCCCACCTTAATTCGTCATACAATTTTGATCTAGAGGAATTTGATCTTAAACCAGTAATGATTCTACCTGCTTCTACTTGGATATCTTCTAAAAGTTTTGCATCTTTTTCAGAACAATTGTCCCAGACAACGTCAGAATATTCTAATAAATGCAAAATATATCTTAACAAGTATTTTCCTTTTCACCTTATACTGAAGCATTCAGTCTTTTTGTAGGTTTTTCATGAATTAATTATAAATGCGATTTCTTCACCTTTAACATTTCAAACTTGTTTATTTACTGGGAAAGAACGTTAATGGAAACTTACCGAAAAATATCTTATGATTACAATGTAACATCTGATGATTTCAGTTTTCTGTCTTCAACGTCCTCTTTTGCGAAACAATATACATGCAGGTCTGTTTTCAAACAAGGCGATAAGGGTATAGTTGATTCGAATATTGACGGACCTTTTTTCATCTTTTTTTTTTTATTTTACACCAACTCAAAGGCCACACTGACTTTTCTAGGGATTAGTCCGTTTGCTTGATCATTACAAAGAATACACATTGATGACAAATGAAACACAGCAGGTGCTTCCGTGTACTTATCTCATCAAATCTTAGAACTGTAGGCCTATAGTTTTATACTTTGATTATGACTTGTTGTGGTCAAAGTCTAATAGACATAGGAAATAGTCGGGTAACGGACAGTTTACAGAGGTCTCAACTTTGACCTTAAATTCTTATCTCTTGGATTGTCATCTGATTAATCTTCTATGATATAAAACCACAACGCTGCAGTTCTGCAACTAACTCATTGTTTTCAAAAGTTTTTTTTCCGGGGGTGGGGGGGTCCTTCTTGCAATTTTCTTTAAAATGAATTTGAGCATGATATATGGCGCCGCTGGAGGGCCAGGTAAAAATTGATATATTTTTTTTTCAGACGAATTAGATATTCGTTCGGACAAATTAGAAATTCGTCAGGACGAATTATAGTTATTTGTTAAAAAAAAAAATACCACTCATTAATAACAATTAAAACCACAGACAAAAAACAAGAACATTATTTTATGTCTCTCATGTTAAAACACAATATCATGTACGTGTAATATTATATTAAACACTTAAAACTGTGTGCGTGTTTTTGATTGCTGTCTGGGTAAGCAGTAAGAGAACAAGAGAATGTTTCACCTGTGTGAAGTCAGAGTGTTTTGACACGAGTTTTCTCCCTTTATACGGAGCTAAATTATCAAAATCACGAAGAACAATGATGCATTTACATTTATTTGTTGTGTATTTTATTTTCCAGGTGTTTATTTGAAACTTTTTTTTCGCTTGTTTGGTAAATATTTATGTATATTTGTTTGTGTTTATATTCTTACCTGTGTACAGGTAAAAAAAAAATCAGCACTATAAAGCCTTTCAAAAAAAAACCATATCGATTTGGAGGCTGTTGTATTTGCCTCCCCAATTTTAAGATATACATAAATTTCTTAATTTAATCAAAAGCAAGTTCATTGTAACACTAACTCTATGTTTAGAAGAGTAGATACCACTATTGGATACAACTATTCTGGTCAACATACGATTTTTCACACCTAATTACGCGTAGTAATTCTCGTACGAGGGAGGTGAAAACAAGCGCATGTCACCCTCATTGAAATCAAAGCACTTCGCCAAAGGATAAGCGATACTTAGATTTTGTCTGTGTCCAGCACGTTAAGAAAATGGTAACTTAAAAATTTAGAATCAGGGAATATCGACAAGGATGGAACACGTTTAATGTATGAAATTTTTCCAGTGTGTAATGAATCGAAAATGTGTTAATTTTCAGGATTCACCTGTGTCGCATTTCTTGAATAGAATTCAAGAGAAAGAAAAATGGGTGTCGATGCGTCAGTGACGACCCGACCTATAATTTGGTTGTGGGGATTTTCTGTGATTTTTGTGCACGTTGCAGAGGTGGCGAGTGTGAGTGTAAGTGTTCAATGGAATGATATTCCGATAGAAGGAAAGGAAATTTTTAATGTGTCGAGCGCCGACAGAAATTGGAATTATAGACATGATAAAATTTATAACTCCAAAAACCGAAGTAGGGGGTCGGTTGTAGAAATAAGAAATGGTGCTGTTATAATGAAATCTAGTGTTCCTTGTGATAAAATAGAAAATCCTTTAGAAATCCGGATTTTATCCTCAAGGGACAATAACAATGCAAAAATTGTGTCTTTGTTTCCATTGAAAATCAGCATACAAGGCAAAAACTGTCTCATACCAAAACATAGAAAAACCCATAGAAGGAGGCAGAGAAATGAAAAATATCGTATCATTGTAAAAAGCAAAAACTTTCATTTTAATTGGTGCTTTCGTAAACATGAATCTGTGCTCAATATTGGGGCATTATTGCCAAGATCACTACACAAATGTGACAAAGTTAATTTTCATCCAAAAGATCCATTATCATTGATAGCTTTTGATCAGAAAGACCGGTCATTGTATGCACTTCAAAAATTTTGTACTCCATCTTCACGGTTTTCAGTATCTGGTCATTTAAATGTTAAGTGCTCCAAAGCATCACAAGTCGAAGAAATCCCAGTGAAAATAATATTCCAGAACCTGCTTGAGTTTCAACATGAGTCCTTACCTTCGTCCAATCCAAATCATCACATACGACTTCGAAGACAAGTGATAAACACGGCTCCAAAATTTCCACAAGTCACCTACTCTGCCAGTGTACAGGAAAAACAGAACCCTGGATACCACGTGATAACGGTGACAGCGACAGATAGTGACAGCGGCGACAACAGTGTCATCACCTATAGCATGACTGCCCAGAATGACCAGCGAAGCAAGGACATGTTTGCCATAAACCCAGTGACCGGTCTGGTCAACACCACCGTGATGTTGGATCGGGAGCTGATTCCAAGACACACCTTTGCAATATATGCTACCGATAATGGATACCCTCAGCTGTCTGCTATGGCTTTACTTACCATCACTGTTTTAGACATTAACGACAATGATCCAAAGTTTGAGCAAAGCGTTTATTATCAGGAAGTGGCAGAAAATCTGCCAGTTTCCTCTACCATCATGACAATTAAGGCCACAGATTCTGATGAAGGAAGAAATGCCGAGATACGATATCGCATCATAGAAAATCAGCAGTCATCAGCTTTCATGATAGAGCCTGTGACAGGTACAATAACAACCCGGGCTGTACTAGATCGTGAAAGTAATGCCTCGTACCAGATTCTAGTTCAAGCCACTGACCAAGGTGACGTAGCAAACAGGCGATCCTCCACAGCAACTGTTAACATTGCTGTGTTGGACGAAAATGACAATTATCCACAATTTTCACAGAAAACATATCTTGTGAATGTATCGGAGGACTATAACTTCAACATGAACCTTGCAATTGCTAAAGTGAGTGCAACAGACAGAGACCTTGACAAAAATGGCCAGATAACTTACAACATTTTTGGGGGTAATACCTTCGACACTTTCAGAATTGATCCAGCGACTGGTGAAATCTCAGTTCAGAAGCAGTTGGATTATGAAACAACTGAAGAATACAGGTTATCCATTCAAGCTCAGGACCAGGGTGAACCACCCAAGACTAACACCACTGATGTCATTATTAAGGTCATAGATGTAAACGACAATCCACCAATATTCCATGCGGCACCATATCGTGGTAACGTGCCTGAAGATGCACCAATAAACAGCACGGCTGTAGCGGTACAGGCTCAGGACAGTGATGACGGACTGAATGCCCTGTTGGTCTATTCCATTGTTAACCCTGATCAAAACCTGCCATTTTGGATTGACTCTGCTACAGGAGATGTCAAGGTCAAATCAAAATTAGACCATGAAAAGCATGAGAATTATAACTTTGTTGTGATGGCAAGAGACCAAGGAACCCCTGTAAAGTCTGATACCACAAATGTCTTTGTGACTGTGAGAGATATAAATGACAATGCTCCTGTATTTTCTCAGAAGATTTACAATCAGACTGTGTCAGAATCTACCGCTACAACAACTCGGATCCTCAGTGTTTCAGCTTCAGATGCTGACAGCGGTGATAACGCATACATCACGTATTCCATCGTCAGTGGAAATGTCGGTAACACCTTTCAGATTAGCACTATAAATGGAGAGGGTATGATTTCTTTGCAAAGAAAACTGAATTACAAGGAGCAAGCCCAGTACCTACTGGAGGTTAGGGGAACAGATCTGGGTGGATTGTACGATACAGCGCAGGTCAGAATATATGTCCTTGACACAAACAAATACCGGCCGGAGTTCCAAAACACACCATATAAAATCGAGGTCAGGGAGAATGTTCCCGTTGGATCCTCAATTTACCGAGTTTTAGCTGTGGATCAGGATGTTGGAGAGAATGGAAGAGTTTCGTATCGACTCGGACAGGGAACCAATGGCTTTGAAATTGACGAGAATACTGGAGATATTAAAACTCGCATGAAGTTGGACCGAGAGACAACTCCTAGTATGTCTTTTGCTGTGGAAGCCTATGACCATGGCCAGCCCTCAATGACAGCTGTTATCATGGTCCATGTAAGTTAAACTCCTTAAATTCTTCATTCTTTCTGAAAAGGTCTTTTTGACTTTCGATCTTTGGTACCATTACCTTTTATTAAATGCTATAGTTTATAATTGGTTTAAACTCTTCTTATTCAAATGTTTATATATAACATGTATGAACTTTCAGCACTGGGTAAATTTCATTGAATTATGAAATGTAAGATGGGTGCCTTTCTTAGTACTTTTCTTGATTTATAAATGCATGTAGATCACTTGTTGATATATTTCTTGTGTTTGCAGGTTATAATATTAGATGAGAATGACAACGTCCCTCGCTTTACCCAAGACAATTTCACAGGCAGTATAGTAGAGAATGCAGAAGTTGACAAAAGTGTGATGCAGATCTCCGCAACAGATGAGGACAAGGGGAATAATGCTAAAATCTCGTACAGCCTTGTTCACTCTACAATTCCTCCCAGTGATCACTTCTCGATCGACCCGGTGTCGGGTGTGATCAGAGTCGCCCAGAAGCTTGATCGCGAGACAGTGGCTGTGTACAACCTGAAAGCTGTCGCGACGGATGGAGGCGTTCCTCCACGGTCATCAACAGTGGGCGTCAGGATAAATATCATAGACATCAACGACAATCCACCTAAGTTTCCGTCAAAGGAACTAGAAATCCGAGTTCCAGAGAATACTCCAGTTGGTTCTGTGTTGATGAAGGTTTCTGCCACCGATCCGGATGAAGGTGAAAATGCACAAGTGGATTATGAAAAGATACCTGGTCTGGATGCGGATAAATTCGATCTAAGCTATAGACCAGGTGAACCAGCAATTTTGAAAAATCGTGTGGATTTTGATTATGAACAAGGACCCAGGATATTCTATGTCAAAATTTATGCGAGATCGGATCCCTTCTTTGAAGATGCCACCCTTGTGATCATGATTCAAGACGTCAATGACAACAAACCAGAGCTGAAGGACTTTTCTATAATATTTAACAATTTTGAGGAACACTTTGTTACTGGCCCGATTGGTAGAATTCCTGCCACTGACCCCGATGAGATCGACCAAAACAAATTGAGATACGAGATTCTAGGGGGGAATGAAGCGCATTTCCTTGACCTGAACACGTCAACAGGGGAACTTACTCTAGACTATCGCCTTAACTCTGATGTGCCCAGAAACGGTACTCTCCAAGTCAAAGTTTCAGGTAAGACCATGAGAAGTGATTATCAAATTTTCCTTCATATGGTAATTTTACTCAATATTAATTCAAAAAATTACTGAGGAAAACATTCATTTATTGCTATAACATCAGTCCTGAAAATGAACTTGAAAGAAATCTCAACTAGAATTATTTAGCAGCTAGGTAAGAGTTGGATAGGATTTGATGAAATTATCCATTTGCATAAATGATATTGTAGTTGGTGCTGAATCATGTCGAAAAGTTTGTAGTTTTCAATAGAGAAAACCGAGAAGATGGATTTTAATTTCAGGGTAGACTTCACATTCCTTATGTTGGGTAATCCTTTGTGTATCACGTTTAACAGGTCGTAAAATCCCGTTAAAGCAGACACCTGCACTGTCATATTCATTCTGCATAATGGAAAAATTTCAGTATTTTGTCGCTTTGTTTTTAATATTTCCATAATAAAGTAATTTATAAGTTTTTAAAAAAATATATAATTATGGAAGAAGATATTGAAAAGACTCTCCTCTTTTAGCATGTTTAGCTCTAGGAATTCTAAGTTGCTTTTTAGGTGTGAAATTATATCCTATTTGCGTGTATATAATATTTGCCCTAAAACATCTGGGTTCGTGCATTTAATTTCATGTGCATTTGAATTTCATATGTGGTAAAAGGGGATTTTTCCACCATGCTGTCATGCCTGTAGTTGTGATAGTACATATAGTTTACTGTTATCATATACATGTACATCATACAATAACTGTATATTTTAACTAACATGACTAAATGTACTTAATTTAGTACAATACAAGCAACTTATGAATGTTCCGGTAAAAAGCATTATAAGGCTTGTGTGCATTACTTCAAACATATGAATCACCCTGATCAATGTATAACCCCGCATGGATATTCCCCACGTCTAGTTTTTTTTTTTAAAGGCCCTATACAAAATCAATATCATGTGTAAGCCAGTTCATTGGAATGCTCTGTAAATATTTGTACATGGCTCTATGTAGCTTTTTTATTATTATAAGGAAACTGGGTAAAGTTTACAAGGCAAATTTTAAAAATATTTTAAGAGTATATTTGCCCCCGGGGAGTAATTATATCCATATGTCCATTAGTTCAGTGCAATCTGTTGGTTTAAAATGGTTTATATGTTTCCTTTGTTGTTGGTTAATTAAAGCATTCATCATTAAGTGGCTAAATGTAATTAAGGCTGTCAAAAATGTCCATGTGGTTAATTAACTCTTTAAGCATGTTTTAAGTGCTTATAAAAAAATTCATACTTAAAATGAAAATGAAGTTGTTGAAATAAATGTTTGGGCTGTAGCCATATGATTTATTATGATAATCAATGTAAATGACCAAATTTTAGTGGTATCAGCTCCAGTAAGAGGGCTAAATATTAATTATAGATACATGTACATACATACATTATCTAATTTTGAAAAGATTTTCAAAAATGTAGTAGATGGAAACATTTATAACCATGATAACAGAACAATCCAACTGTTAGGGTGTTTTGTTGGTACCTTTCAAAGGTGTATCCAGTATAGTTTATGTATACTGATATGAACAATTCATGATATTGATGAATTGAAAATCCTCTCTATTTTCATTGTCTACTAAATTTATTACCAGTAACCTTACTGGACATTGTAAAGCTGAGCGGCTGGGCTGACCGCCCTGATCTATTGAGCTGATCAGACCACTCTGTGTCAGTAATTGATTGTCCATCTTGTCTTTGGTCAGTGTACCTTATTGGAAATTGACCTCCAGGATCTGGACAAGAGAAAGTAATCAATGAAAAAGTGTGAAGTTTTCCTAATCTCGTTATCACTCTAATTAGGAGGGCAGGCTCCAATCAATAGATATTCATTTTCTATTTGGCCATCATAATATTGAATTTTAACAATTTTCCCGGCAGTATTATTTGCAGGTAATGCCAGGTATAGATATTTGTGTGTACTGGTATGTACTGTAAAGTAAATTAGCATACAATTCATTTTGATCGTATTTAATTTGTCAGCCCTGTTTTAGAATCCTGTATTAACGGTGTTATCTGAAACAAATCTGATTAAAATAGCAAACACTATATAAAATTGATTCCGATCGTGTTTCTATTTTATATGAATATAATCTGACACAATCTAGGATTTTATGGTCATGTTTTTGAATAATTTGAAACATCCATTATAATTCAGTTTTTTTACTCGATTTCTTCATTTACATTTTATCATTGTGAACCTGTTTATGTCTTCAGAATACTAGTAACCTGTTCAAATTTAAACTGTAATCAGTTAATCTGGATATTTTCTGTCATGGATCAAATTACTATTTTTTTTAGGGAACTCAAATTACTTGAATAGAGATTTTTGAAGGGAATTGTCAATCAATTTACAACAATTACCTGAGTGGTAAATAGCAGTGAATTAAAGCAAAAAACTTGGGGCAAAGAATACAGCAATTTTGGAATTTTAAAGGAATCGCTAACACGTACTATACAGACTAAACATTCTACAGACCCTATGAATGGTGTGGGGAGGAAGTCCTTTGACAGTGTTCTGTACACAGCTCACAGTAACTTTTATTGAGATACCACATTCACAAAGCATTTTATTAGACCATAAAAAGTTTGGAGGCCATTTTGAAAAATTCTATCAAAAGTTTGTTAGAGTTAGAATTGTAAATAAATGGTTTTTGTCATTACTTCAAAATTCTGCTCTATAGTTTGTGCATTGATATTGACCGTGTGTTTCATTGTTGAGTTTCATAACACAGTACTACATGTAGTACTTTTAATGTTTATTAAAAATTTATGGTACGTACAATCATACATCTTTTTTGACAATTTTATGGACTCTTGTAAACATGTAGGCATTAAGGATACAATAATATAAATGGGATTTTATAGTAATTTTTTTTAAAATCTTGGACCTCTTCTATTTTTTTCATGAGGTTAGGGAGTTAAAAAGTAGGGGGTCTGTTAAATGAGTGCCCTTATCCATGTGATTGACATCATAATGTCTGTTCAGAAGGTTTATGTATGTACCTGGTATAAGGTAAACTTAATTCCCAGTCATGTCTTGATACCCTGATTAGGTAGGATTTAGTCCCAGCTAAGTGAGGATAATAATCTATACAACTTAACCCCCCACTTGTTATTTTTTCTCCAACACTGACCATTACTTTAGACTTAAGACAGGTGGCTATAGCAGATTAAGGTGAGACCCACTGTTCCTTTATAACTGTATAGGTACAAGCATAACACACAGTAATACTATACCATGTATACAGTCTTAAGGGAAGACTCGATCCTAACAGTTTATCATAAGTCGAGGTGTAATGTTGTCATAAATGGAAGGGATAAGACCAATATAAAAGGACCATGCTGTGATTTTGGACAAATATTTGCTCTTGTATGGAGTGAAATTTCATAATATTGTCAAAATTCCTTAAATTCCAGGACTTTTATAAAGGAAATGATAGAAAAGTTCTCTTTTTTTCTCTTAAGGGTGCATGCTGTAAGCATATGTTACTGTTTGTGTTTTCATTGCACAGTTAATGCATTGGATTAAAGCCCATTTATTCTCCCCACAACACATGTGCAATGGATCTGGACTACAAAATCCCCCATGGCCTTCTTTCCTTCTAGTAACCCCGAAATTATCCAAGCCTAATGCACAATGCCATGTTAAATCCCCCCAAAAACAGCATGAAGTACCCCACAGTGTGAGCAAGGGACTTTCCAAAGACAAACAACAAAGTCCTTAATCCAAACACAGGATGCAGTGTGTCAATTCCAAAATCAACATTAGGTATGATTTATAAGGTAGAGGTAAAGCCCAGTGTTCAGAGGTGTAGACCCTAGGTATTCGTGTTGGTTTATAGAGGGGGATAGAAATGTCTGGACAGGCCTGGTTTTCCTCCTTTATCTCGGCAACTTCCCAGCATGCAATGCAATTTATTGATTCCATTGTTTCCCCTGTTCTGCTCCTGATTTATGATCCTCTCTTTGAATTGATCTGATGTTTATTGTTGGCTGATATCTTGTAATTATTACTGTTTGGGCTTGGGGTAGTTTTAAAATTTGATGAAGTACAGGATGAGTAAAGTTAAAATATCATGCATGCTTTTAGAATTAACTAATAAAGTACCACATTTATAGTCAAACCTTGCAATCTGGACCCAACAGGACCAAGAGTAAACCACAGCAAAACTCGTGTAATACAAACACGGATATTGCAAATTCACAGACATAGCGAAGTCATTTTGAAACTCCAGCTATATAAATTTTAATGAATTTCTTATATGGATATAATAAATTACAGATATAGTGAAGTAATTTTATAGGTCCTTATGACTTTGTTATAACTGAGTTTTGCTGTATATGATATTCAATGTTTCAAGATATCGAGCTTAAGATACCTGACAGTGGGAAACTGGTTTTAAAGAAAGTCTGGAATGTGAATATTTTATAATAATAAATTAATGTATAGTTCCAATGGTACACTTGATCTGTAGACCTTAAGAGTATTAAAGATAACAACACACTATATTGTCTGGACATTTATTACCTTGTACCTGATTTAAATACCCAGTGTTAAGTAATGGTCAGTGATTGATACTTGCATACACCCTACCTATCTTTTACATACACTGTGTCTTGTATAACAAACAATTCTGTTAAAGGTGTCGGCTAAGTCTGTGTTTGACTTGTTGTTTGGACATTGGTTAGAGTGGACACTATGTTAAACTGGACAAAGACGTCCAGTTACCATTAGGCCGATACTTGTACAAGTTCAAACAAGCTTAAAAATTACTGTGAAGTCATAAAAAGTCTGATTTAATTTTGTGTACCCACAACTTGGTTTCATCTAGCCCAGAGGGGGAATCTAAAGTGGCTATAAATACCAAAGTTCTTTTCACTGGTCAAACTTGTAGATGGTCTGGGGTTTTTTCTCCACCATATTGTGGAATTGGTAGACTCAACTCTCAGGTTCCAAGACTTAGTTTGTCATTTGTAGGTCACTATATAGATCTTTTATACCATGGCCTTTGCTTTTAATGTGGACAAGGTGGTTGGATACAATCTAAAAGTTTTTCATTCTGTCCATTTTATTATGTTCTCTTTAACTTTAGAAATAAATGTACACTAGCTGAATCAACAGTCTGAATAAATATATTTAGGTCGAATCTACAAATAGTAATTCTTCACCCAGTTAAAAACACAATATTGGACAGATTGAGTGAGAAAGTTTGTTATAATAAAGTACCAGAAATCCAAGGTCGAAGCCTGGTTTCTTGCATCTGCAATATACATGTACTGTTTGCTCATTTCAATGAATTTGTTCTTTTTCTCAAATATCTTTGTGCTCATTTTCTTCTGCCAGTATTCAAACAAACATACTACATGTACTGATACAAACTCATTGTAATTTATGACAGTCTAATAATTACATTAGGTTTTACTTTTGAGTTTCACTTTAATATGTATCTGCATTACAGCTTAATAATTGTTTGTAAACTCTTTGTAGATGGAATGAATGAGAAGAGAGCCACATGTCGCCTTTACGTTCGCCTGGTCACCAAGGAGATGTTAGAAAAGAGCGTCACAATTCGCCTCAACAACATTACCCAGAATACATTTCTCTCTCCGCTCTACAAGTTCTTTGTCGATGCTCTGGCCTCGGTTCTAAAAACAGAAGAGAAGAACATCTATGTCATTAATGTGGAGAATGATACAGATGTATCAGCCACTGTTCTCAACGTCAGCGTCGCCGTACGTAAGGCGGACGGATCGTTCTACGACGCAGAGGTTCTTAAGGAGCAGATTTACCTCCAGAGGATCAGACTGGCCGAGCTGTCTACTCTACAGGTTTGTGTTGTGCTTGTCTGTTACTCTGTGATGAACTGTAAACTGCTTAATCTAAATGGTAACTAGTTTTAAGCAAATGCATTTTCTCTGCTTCCTTTAGATGAGGTATGAATACATGCACTGGCGTCTGCCTTTAGTGCATCTCTTAAATTAAAAATATATGGTTCCTTATCTAGAAGAATTCTTATGCAAGGCAAAGAAAAAAATGTCAGAGTAGGTCCTAGTAGATTCTGTAGGTCCTAGAGCATACAGTAATTTAAATTGGCATATTACTGTGTGCAGGGGTTTAATTTGTTCACCTTGAAGAAAAAGGAATGCTGATGAATTCAGTGTGCTATGTCATATGTAATTTAAATCCCCATACCTTTACAAGATGGGGATTTAATGCTTTCAATAATTTTGATAAAAATCACATTGAAGTGAAAACATGAGCACTAAGTGTGCCTCAGAAGTGAAAACGGATAAATCATAAAAACTTAAAATCCATGAAAGCGTGGATCAAGATATTCCGTCCCATTAATAACCTTAGATAAGAATTAAAATCAGTTTTGAGGACGGCAGTATGTTTACATTTAAATTTTCTATTTAGCAGTACAGTGCATGTTGCCCTCTCCATTTGAAGTGAAATCTGAAAAGAATTTTTAGAAAATTATTTGGTTCCATGTGCCTTAACATTTAAGCAAGTAATAATGGACATGTTAAGTATAGGATAGAACATGATAGAATGTTTGTGTAGGCTGGTTTATATAATGTCCAAAATTTATGGATTTGAGGTTTAAAATGCATGAATAAAACAATAGGAAATTTTTATAGTCACTTTACATGATAGATTTTTATTTTGATAAAAACCCATGTAAAATGTTTTGTCTGACGTGCAATTAATGAAAGACTTGATGTACATATATACCATTCTAATGCAATTATTTTGTAATACACTTTTTCATTGGCTAATGCACTGATGTTTGAAGCAGTAAAACGAGCATTAACGAGCGTGAAAGCTTTTTCATTGTGACGTCATAATAGAGCGACGCAAAAACACAATGCTCCATGACGTATTTCATGTAACAAAATTCATCAAAATAAGACATAATCAACAAGCAAAATGCATGGATTGCATTAGAATGGGAATAACTTATCTTCTAATTTTTTGTATAATGAACCGTTCTTGTGGCTTATTTTGCGACCGTTAAATCAGCATTAACGGTCGCAAATACCAAATTAGAAGATAGTTATTCCCTAATTTTACATTTTTAATTAAAATACATATATTTTCCATTTTTTGACCTGATTGGTCTTGTGGATTTTTCATTATGCAATTAAATTACATGATTGTGAGGAAACAGTTCTTGATTTATTAAGCAATGATAAAGATGAAAATTTAGAAGTATGATTATACTATTCACTTGTGATTTAAATTCTGTATTACAGGTTCTGCCCTTTGAGGACAATATCTGCATCCGAGAGTTTTGTGCAAACTTTGAGCACTGCATTTTCTATGTGAAGTTTGGTCGCCCTCAACCCTTCATTCACTCCGACATGATGCTGTTTCGTCCTATTCACCCAGTGAACAGTTTTAGGTGTGAATGCCCCTCTGGATATGCCAGTAAGTTCACAGATATAATTTAACTGCTCCTTAATTATCTACAAAAGAATACTGGGTTTATGCAAAATATATTCTGTAACACTTAGCAGATGGATACATGTATGTGTCTGCTCTTAATCTTCTCTTGAAAATTTTTTTTATGATGCATAGTGGAATATATACATGTACTGGTAGTCAAAATACTACCCTTTTGTAGCATGAATCTTTAAAAAATGATTTGAAAATAAATTGTGAATAAAATGAAATTCATTCTAATTTAAAGCTATACTGACCTATGATCTAATTGTGTACTGTTGTATAATGAATTATGATGATTTTACAGTGACTACTGGGGATTACTGTAATATGGAGATAGATGCCTGCTACAGCAGTCCCTGTAAGAATGGGGGACAGTGTAAACGCAAGGAGGGAGGCTACACCTGTCTGTGTGCACCTGACTTTACAGGTAAAGCATTTAAAAAAAATCATTTTTTACCTGCAGTCAGTCATCCTTGGTTTAAAGTTAAAACAAGTGACTTTAGAGTTTTTGTGATGAGGTATATGATTTTTCTGATGCAGCTTAAGTGAGGATTGAAAATACCCCTATCTTTTTTTCAATTTTAGGTCAAATTTAATGAAGGAATACTGGATGTATAGAACAAGATCCAATTTAATCTACCTTTTAATGCATAACTTCTATGTGTGATATGACTTTACTGGTTAAAATAAAGCAGAAGCAAATCTTGAGTTACATGAAATGGCGTGATCTCCTAAAAAAAATCTTGTATTGGAGCACATTTTTCAGTAATAATATCTTCATGTTAAAAAAAAGTAACAGATATAATTAGCTGTAGTACAGGATTTGAGATTCCCCCACCTTTTCTTTATTTACAATTGTACAAAAATTTTTATTTACCAGTATACTACCTTTTATCAGCCAAATGATATAATTATACAACAAAATCTTATTGTTGGTCCTCTAATGAATTTTTGCAAACTTTTTCGAAGCTAACACTAGTCTTAGATATGGAATTTCTTTGTTTCCTGTGCAAGTAATATATCCTTAAAAAAAAACAATAATTCAAGCAATCTAGTATTTCTATAAATGCTTTCACACTCTCTGAACAGTAATAGGTGCCATTATGTGGAGTAATTCTGGGAGTTCATTGAGACTAAAGGATTGTAGCTTGATCCATTGATTATCTGAAATCTGATACTCCATAACGATCCGCCCAGCCAGGCAGAAAAAGTTCACTAGACTGTGTAAACTAGGTACGCAGGGTGAGAGGGCATGGCTATTATATCGAACCCGATCCTGGCAGTACTCACTCGAGCCCCATTATGTCGCAGAAAACACTGACGGTGAAACTTCTCTTTCTTGTTTGGTTAAAACTTGATCCAGAACTGAGATATCGCTGTAAATGGTGAAGGGGAATTTAATGTTATTATGACGGTTGAAAATCTGGGTAGCCTTTAAAAAGTCATTAAATCTCTTGTCATGTTTAAGTGGCCTAAGGAAGATGTCAAGAAATTTGCTGATTTGGAAACTATTAACTGATAGCCCACTTTTTTGTCTGAATACCCAGTTAAATAATGATTAATGTAAATACTTTTATATTTATTATAAAAAGGCTTGTCTTACATATGGATTTACAAGATATATTGATTAAGGATATTATAGATCTAGGAACTTGTTACATACAGAATAAGGGGGGGGGGGGGTTTGGTAGATACAGAGAAAACTTTTATATTGAGCAATATATAGTTATACATGCCAGTCATAAAATAATTCATTGATTTACTTGGTCTTACAAAAATAACATTTAAAGCTCACTTTTGTATGTGTTCCTGTAGGAATATAATACTTGATGAATGTAAAAAATTGATGAACATTTGTAGAACAGTTCACTTGAGGGATAAATTGTTTAGACATCATTTGTGTTATGACATTGGACCAGACAATTGTTATGACATAAATATAACCACACATATTTTAGTTTAATATACACCTGGTCACTGTTTTACAATATGTCAGGAACAGTTTAGAATATGTCATAATATGAATTCATTGATAAATAAGAAGTATGTTTTATAAGATTTCTGTGAACAATTTTCAATTCTTTAATTAGATAGGAGAGCTAGCTAGAGTACATTACCTTGTTAAAGAAGTCAGAGAATATCAATCTAAGCTTTGGTAAATGGAAAAGTTCTATTTTCTGTGATTTTGTGATTAATGAGCTTTCGGGAAGTCAGATATAGCAGCTGCATATCAATTGAATACTCTCTATGAGGTCATTTCAGTACGTTCCTATTTTTGGCAATTTTAACCAATTTACCACATTAACAAACAAAAATTATCATTTTTTTATCCTTTGTTTATAGGAGAGACGTGTGAAATTAACCTGAGGAAGCAGTTTGACATCCTAACATGCCCCCAGAATGTCTGCCAGTCTCCATCACAGTGCGAGGCCAATCAAAATCAGGGAGGGTTCCAGTGTAGAGGCTGTCCCGCTGAGCCTCATTATGACAAGTATTGTCAGCTGACCACACGCAGCTTTGCCATTGGCTCCTACCTCACCTTCCCAGCATTCAAGAGGAGATTCAGATTCAATATTCAGCTGAAGTAAGAAGTTTTTGTGATTGAAAATTTATAACAACCATAAAAGATTTGCATTGATATTCCTACATAGTTATATGTATACTTCATTCACCTTAGCTTTTCTTCAGTTATTCTCATTAACTTGTAAGTCTTATATAAAAGCATATCATGAGATCAGCATAACCTCTTTTTTTTTTTTTTTACATGGATCAATAAATCTGCAGATTTGTTTAGTTTATAAAAAAAAATTAAAATATGCTTATAGTAAAAATATTGTTACATTTGTATGATTAAAAAGAACTTTTAAAATATTATGAATATTCTTCCCAAAGGTTAGAAACTATATTAGTGATTGGAATTGATTAAAATGATTGCTGTTTAATAATTAATCTTGCTTTGATTTAATAAATTGACTTTCCTGTAGGAAAGGTTTACAGAGAGGATTATTTTAACGGATTAATTTGATAATCCCTGATTAGATAGGTAGGCCATGATATCATTCAGTCAATTTAAAAGTCTTGATTTTAAGCCATTTTAATCCCAAAGTCAACGTTGACTTAATAAATATCTTACAGTAGGTGAGATAGGTTTATGAAAACATCAGGCTGATCTGAATAAACAGTGTTTATTCTAGAAATAGAGGATGTTAGACCAAAGATATGTTGAATTACCTGTGTCCTATGTTCCTTGTGTAGAGGAGTAGGAAATGTAAATATACACTAAAAGATGTCACTGAAAGAAAATATAAAAGAAGATATTTGATGTAAGAATATGATAAAATCATTTCTTGCAGTCATGTTTTATTTAAACCTTATCAGTTGATAGCAGTGTTTATATTTTGAAAGAAAACAAACTCTGGGTATTACTGTTTTAATATGAACCTGTAGACACATAGCTGTTGGCTCAGATTACATTCTTAGGAAGTACATGTATAAAGTATGTGTAATTCAGACTTTTAGAATTCATTTCAAATAAAAGTAATCAAATAATTTAAGTGTTTTTCAGGAACTGACAATTGGTTCAGTGGGTTGAGATAGAGAGGGTTTTTTTTTAATAATCTCTGTATGAACTTAACTCATATACTTCTCTGTACGAGTATGTTTATTGAAAACCACTTTTTACGTGCCCAAAACGTCATTACGCTAAACTGCTGTCTTAAAAAGTTTTTCTCACATATATTGTAGTATTATTAAAATGTTATAGAGCAGTGACAGAATTTTCTGAAATTTTTTTCTTAGGTAAACTTGTCTTTTAAAAATGATAAAGAACATTTATTAAATAAATTTAAGCGCTACAATACCAGGCATTTATTTAAACTTTGTTTGTTGTAGATTTGCCACCCAGATGAAGGATGGTCTACTGTTTTACAATGGCAGATTCAATGACAGAAATGATTTTATGGCTCTGGAAATCGTAGATGGTCAGCTACAATTCTCCTTCAGTACAGGAACCAATAAAACATCTGTAAGGTCAAAGGTCTTGGGAGGTGTGTCCAATGGAGAGTGGCAGTTTGTACAAGTAGATTACATAAACAGGGTAAGGGGAGATAAATCAATATCTTGAGGTCTGGATTTGACAAGTGCACCTTGTTTCTGTATCCATTTATATGAGAGGTGTATTTATTTCTACATACAATCACATTGCCCAGCTGTATTTGGTAGTTAAAATACAGGTACATGATGAAATTTTGCTGAAAAGTTCGTAGAATATTGGAATAACAGCTAGTTTATGCAAGAATGCAAATAAAATATGGCTGAAAGAAAGCCCTTTGATATTAGCTTATTGGTTCTACTGTTTGTCAGGTATGGTCTGTGTACCATTTGTGTAAAGTTTGATAGTGTTAGGCCTATAGACTGAGGATGACTGCTATTGTGTGAAGAATCAATGAGGCCTGGGTATACAGAGGCATTCCTTTATCTCAGAATGTGACAAGAATTTCAGTGTCCAAATTATATATGTAAATAAAAATATATTTATGCGGAGGAGAAAGCTTATAATATCACATGCATTTAAAAAAAGAAGAGTTAAATGCCTTGTGCATGTTGAAATTGCTAACAGTGGGTGATAAGAAAATTACACAGCATTTTTTATGTAATAATGCATTTGTGATTTTGCCCAACAACTTAAGAATATTAACATTGCATAGCTCGAAATGTTTTGTGAGAATTTTTTAGGCAAATTGCATGGGTACAGTAAATTGATTTATTAGGCTAATTTTACTCACTATATTTACATGAATAATGTGTGCATAGCACATTTAGAAATATGAAATGATTTTGAGAATGTGTCCCTATTGAAAAGGAAATTGGTTAATTTAAATTTGTGAATTAAAATTCACTAAGCATTCATTTAGTTCCAATATTCTGCACTGACAGCAATTGATTACTTGTCTTACTGTTTGTAAGGTAATTAACTACAGAACAAAACTGATACCGTATCTGATGCACTGAAGGTATTTTATTGATTTTATGACAAATTTTTCCTTGCACATTCTGTAATCTGAAAATCAGAAAATGAATTGCCAGTGCATTAGTTAACTAGATTTTTTTGTTGAAGAACTGCCTGGCTTTGTGTTCAAGGATGTCATTTCAAGTAGATTTATTCAGATGCCAATTTTAACAATGGAAGAAATATTCAGCAATATGATTCTTAGTTTACAAAATGTAGTTATGCATGCATTCATTCCATTCTTAAAAGTTTGCATTGAAGAAGAGAATTTATTAACTGAAGGTACAAATTGTAAATATGACAAAATCTTACAGACTGGCCTAATAAATGTTGAAACTATAAATATCATGTAGACTGAATTGAATGTCAAATTTTACTTCTCTGGACCCATGATGAACAAGTTTGAAAATTGTGTGATAATAAAGACCATGAGGGGTTAAAATATGCCCCTCAATTTAGCAATGTTACAGTGTATCTGTTAGTATTTGAAGTACTGAAGTGGTTGGATTGCATAATGAAAGTACTGTCCTGTAGAGTGTGATATTTCATTATTGGATTAGTTTAAAAGCCTCCATTTTAGTTTGATATGACTGAAAATATTAATTTTCATGTAGTTAGCAATTTTTTGAAAAATTTTTGGATTTTATTTATATGAGAATTTAAGACCAAAAATTAAAATATTGTTCCCTTTGAAATATGAAAACCTTCCTTGCAACAAACTTTTGAAAATCTAAGAATTTGTAAATCACTAAAATTCTTCATTTGATACTGGTCTTGGTCATGTTGGTAGCTAAGATTTGAAATGTATGAGAGTTTGACAGAATCCATCAGAACCATTAATACAGATCTCTGTCTTTGCTAGTCATTGGTAGAAGTTTATGGTCTTTGTTACATAACTGACATTGGATTCCTATAATAGAATTCCCCAGCAGGCCATTGTTCCATGCTTTATGAGGGTGTCACATGTGGGGCTTTGGATGTGAATTATTGACTTTGGGTCATAAAATAACAGATTCCTGAGGTGCACAGTGGGGGTATTTGAGGCTAGGAATGATATTGAGCACAGGTGTCTGTGCATAATTAAGTACCTGTACTATGCATGTACGTATTATATAATGTCACATGCATTAAATTCACCCATCTATATAAGCAATAAATATTGATTTAGGATTCAATTTACTTTATGTGCAAAAGTACATCTTATTTTTATGTTCTGCAATTCTATAGAGCAATGAAATATTGATTACATATACATAAAAAGCACTTTGTTCCTTTGTCAACTTTGATGCCAAATTTTATCATTAATGGCACATCTTAAAGACAAACATGATGTTTTTTTTCATAACGGAGTAATTATACCTGCTTTGATTTTTCAGACTGTGACGTTATCTGTTGGGGAGGAATGTGATACACAAATAGCTGTGAAGTACGGACACCTGATATCAGATCATCCCTGTGCTGTACAGACCACCTTTGATATCCCAGACATGTAAGATTACTGTGGCATAATTAATGTAGCACTGAATTAGTTCTGATGACAGAAAACCTCCATCACTAATGATTAACTGTAATCTAGGGACAAAGATTAAATGATTATACCTGGAATCTTAGACTGCACAAAGCTGTCAATGCATTAATTTTATTGTGCATTGATGTTTTTTTTAGACAAAAATATGAATAATCTGGAATTGTGTAAACATGCAGTGCTTTGATTGAGATCAAAGTTACTAAGTTTAGAGATAAAAATTCAATAACATTCAGTGTTTATGATATAATATATACTGTCTTACTTTTACTTAGATTAATTATCATTCAAAGGTTGAAGTAAATAAGTCTCTATGATCCCCCTACCCCATTTCATTCCATTCCAAGATAAGATACTGAGAACTGTTACATGTAAATTTGAATTCATTAAGAACATCTGTTGTAGATGCTACACCAATGTTGTACCCCAGGTACAGTGTCCAAAGTTCCTGGACCTGAATGGTCCCCTACAAATTGGAGGTCTCCCCAACCTTCAGAGTCAGTTCCAGACAGAGAATAGGCACTACAAAGGCTGTATCAAGGACTTCTACATAGACCATAAGCTGCTGGATCTCAACAAATTTGTCCTGAACCAAGGAACCGTAGCTGGCTGTGCCGAGAAAACCAACCAGTGTATTTCTGCCCCTTGTAAACATGGAGGTTGGTGTTCAAAACCTGGTCTTAAGCAGCAAAGATTATATTTCATGGTTTATTTCATATTTTAGTTTGAGGATATTTGATGAAACACACAACTGAAATTAGAATCACTTGATCAAGGGTCAAAATGCAAAGGCATACAGGGGAAACCATTTTACCAAATCTTTTTCTGCATAGTTTCAAAAATTGTACATACTTAGCTGAGATACAGTTTTCATCATGTTAAGCATAGCTGTGATTGATTGAAAGGATGTAACAAAGTCATTGATGTGAGAGTCTGAAAATAAGCTGGAGCAAAAATGACTCCTCAAACATTAGCATCAGCATCTTTTTTGACAAATTGTGACATGTACTTTAATTTCTGTCTCCACAGGTACTTGTCATGACCGATGGGGGACTTATTTCTGTGAGTGCCCGGACCGAGCTGGGGGTAAGGACTGCAGTCAGGTGATCGACCAGCCAACTCGACTGGAGGGTAACGGCTTTCTGCTGTATACAGAGAACTCTCTGACCAGTAAAACTATCCTGTATGCCTGGTACAATGGTATTTCCTTCAGGACTCGAGCAAGTTCAGGCGTACTGATGTACGTTGTGATCAATGAGGGTTACACCATCACATTAGAGGTAAGACAGATCATTAAATATGGGGGGTTTAGTTTTACTTTTCCCCCAAAAAAGTAGTCAATTTTGTACTCTTCACATGTAGAGAGATCCGAATTTTTAGATTTAGATTAAAGCTTTTTAAAATACCTTGCTTAAAGTATACGCTTTTGCAGAATGTAGACTTAAGTATATATACTATAAAAATCGCACATATTTGGCTATTTAAGTTCATTTGAAACATGATTGATTGATTTGTAAGCTGTCTTAAAAAGTAAAGACCCCCAATTTAAGGACGATTATATTAAATAGTTATGTGTGACAAAGGGGCCATAAAAATATATATTTTGATTTTGTACCATGGTATTTAGAGTTTTGTCCCTTGTTTTCCAGCTGGTAGCGGGCTATGCTCAGTACCACGTGAGCGGGGTCAACAGAACGTTTGTCTTTGATTATCTCCCCGTTAACGACGGCCAGTGGCACTACCTGGAGGTCAGGTGGCCCAGAAACTGGGAGATCATTCTGGTCATGGATTATGGCCATTGGCAGGTGAGCACAATTAAAAAAATCAGTTAAAAAACTAGAATATTTAACACAGCATTTAAGAGAATCATCAATCTGGTGTATCCAAACAAAATGTATATGGGATTCTTTTGCTGCGTACCAACATTTTTTAAAATTTACAAAAAATTTAAGTAATTTTTGTTTCATGGGAAACAATATTTCATTTAGATTTTTTTTTATTCAGAAAAAGGAGAACATAACAGTCCTCCTAAGTAACAAGATTGTAGATAGAGTGTACGTAGGAGCAATGAGAGAAAACGACGGTCCAATATCCAAAGGCTTTGTGGGATGTGTGGAGGTAGGGAGTTATGTGTTATATTTTTGATGTATAAAAATCACATCATTATAACACTGTGACATTAATGAAATGTGAGGAATCATTTACTTGATAGAAGGATTATTTTTTGTGATTGTGTTTTACAGAACATAATTGTCGGGAACACCAATACGGCACTCCTCTCACGACCTTCACACAGCAACACCTACCCAGGATGCACCATTACCAGTGCCTGTAAGGATAACCCGTGTTCCGCTGGAGCTACGTGTGTGGACCACTGGGGGAAACATGAATGTGTCTGTCCTAAAGGTTAGTGAGGCAGGATAGACAGTACTGAGTTAAGGTTGAGCCCCATCAATATGATACGATAAAATCAAATCATGCAGAAAACTCTGGCATAAAAAATTATTTTGTATATGGAGTACAGTTAAGATTTAAGTGAGAAACATCAAATTTTGTACATTTAGATTATTTACGACTTTAAATGTAAAAAAAGAAAAAATATTATCCTTTTGTACTGCATTCATGATAAAGATATATTCAGTATGGATGGTTTATTTTGTGTTAAACTATAGGTACCTTAGGACCGCAGTGTAAGGACATCTGTAGGAACTACAACCCCTGTCATTACGCAGCCATCTGTCACGGCCCGACCTTTAACCCCAGCTCCCAGGCCGGCTATACCTGTCAGTGCGGACAGCTACAGAGTGGGCGGTACTGTGAGTACGTGTCCACTCAGCCGTGCGATGACGGCTGGTATGGGTTCCCTGTCTGTGGCCCCTGTAACTGTTCCTACGAACTGGGATTTGACACGAAGTGCAACAAATCTGACGGCACGTGCTACTGTCAGGAGAACTACTATCGACCAATCGGAAGTGACCGTTGCTTCCCATGTGACTGTTATAAGTATGGATCCACATCAATTTACTGTGACAAGGTTACTGGACAGTGTCCTTGTAAGAAGAATGTCATAGGAAGAAAGTGTGACCAATGTGAGAACAAGTATGCACATATATCATGGAATCCCAGTGATGACATTGGATGCTTAGGTAAAATACATCATGAAATTTTAAAATCCTCTCATTAAATCTGTTCCTTCTATTAATTTTAGCACTAATAAAGTCTTTGTAAATGATATATTGTCAGCAAATGCGATGTTTTGAAAAATGAAGATAAGCACGTTTAAACAAGTTCTGATCATATCTGAAAAAGGAGAAATCCAGTAAAGTTCACTTAAAAGCTCATTACTTGTGTAAAGGAATATTTTCCCTGTATATTGTTTTAGTTTGTTTAATTTACACCGTCCTTTTTTTCCTTCCCAGTCACAAACAGCATGTGTCCGCGGCAGTTCTATAAGATCATGTGGTGGGAGGCCAAGACCTTCACCGAGAGTGGCCATGTCACCGCGGTACAGGACTGTCCATTCGGAGCTGTGGGTAAGAGTCACTTCTAGTCTGTAGTCCTACCAGTCTAAGTGTTTAGTACTAAGTACACCTCAGAAATACAGGATTGTCCATTCGGGGCTGTCGGTAAGAGTCAATCCTTGTCTATAGTCCTTGTAGTCTATTAAGTGTTTAGTACTATGTACATCAGTGTGGTGCAGAATTGTCCATTCGGAGCTGTAGGTAAAAGTCACTTCTAGTCCATTGTCTTATTAGTCGAGAAGGGTTATAGATATGTTCTGTATTTTGATTCATTAACACATTTCTTTTGAACATTTGACACTATAAAATTGTTTTGTACAGGTGATGCCAAAAGGAACTGTTCTAAGACTGAGCTGTGGTCTGAGCCTGACCTGTTTAACTGTACCAACAAGGACTTTGTCAGCCTAGAAACCCAGGTCTGTATAACGTCATAGATCAAATGTCTCCCATGTTGGCTATCCCAATATTTATTATTTCTCTATGTTCAGTTTTTATTGGATGTTTGTTTACATGTAAATGTATTTAATAAAAAAAAATATATTGCTGCGATTAGATGGGATTTTAATGTTCTAAAAACCATAGTAAAAAATGGTAATCTGAATTTTTTAAATCCTTATCTACCGGTATTAAACAATGCTGCATACTGAAGAACACTTTCTTACCATTGCAGGTTAGCCAGATGGAGAATAGAACACTGAATATAACAACGTACGTGGCTAAGACTCTGGCGGCCAAACTGGCCAGCGCTACGTCCTCTGTCAGAGTCTTGTTTGGCAATGACATCAACATCACGTACAGAATCATTAACCAGCTGCTGAAGTACGAGAACAAACAGTCTGGACTGGGCTTAACTTTAGAGCAGGACAGTAACTACCTACAGGTGAGTAGCAAAAGTTACTTATAATTTATGTTTGTTTTTCGATGTCTTAATAAAATTTACAATCTACAAGTTTTTATGCAGCCTGATATACCAAAATGTTGAATTGGTACTCAGTTTCATGTATTACTTGAGAAGAATTAGTTTTGTAACTTCTTTAAGTATTCATATTCATCATAAAATTTAAAAGTTATAGAATTCAACATTCTCAGAGAAAGTTTAGATCAGAAAAAAATGTTTCCATTATCTGTCAAAAGTGAAAATGAAATGGATTGAAAAGCAGAATTTCAGAGCATAATATTCAACTTAATATAAATTTTCAGAACTTGTTGGATGCTTTAAGCACAGCCCTGGATCCACAGTATGTCTACGAGTGGGATAAGATAAACCAGCGATCTGGAGGGGTAGGGGAGATATTTTACCGCCTGGAGAATTATCTGGATCTACTAACCCGTAACCTTGGCAGAATGCAAAAAAATCCTTATAGAGTTGTCTCCAAGCATATTGGTAAGGCAATTTTTTCTCTTTATTTTTTCCAGTTTACTACACAAATTTTTTTTACGTCTTATCAGTGGGGAATTAAAAGAAGCCAAAAAAATGTTGTATTTTGCACATTGATTTGTTGTACGTATTTGTAAAGAGCTGAAGTGACAGTTTAGTTTTTTCCCTACAGTGTTAAGTGTGGATACCTTGACCACCAGTAACACCACTGGATTGAAGATCCCCAAGTTTGACAACATTGTCGCCGAGCCAACATTTGACGACCAGACCCACGCAGTGTTGCCGCCGTCCATCAGCCAATCATCCGTGGCCGAGTACATCCAGCGCTTGATGTCACAGGGATCAGAGAAATTCTATGTGTCGTACATGTTGTTTGATACTCTAGGTTCCCTACTACCATCTGGGCCTGGGAGTCTACATACCAGTATTGTGTATGTTTATATTGTTTAATTAATTAAGTTAATGTGACAGTTGATGGATAAGAAAATACATGTATATCAGACATAGATATCTTATTTAGGACAAGTGCTTTGAAAACAAAAATATTTCACTGCAAAACGTTTTGCCATAAGCAGGCCTTATTGTTTCAAAAATATAGTACCTTTAACTTTGAAAATGGAAATGTTGATTTCGATGTATGTTTTTTTCTGTTCCAATTTTAGCCAGAATCCAGGCAGGGAGCTAGCTGTGAATAGTCCAGTGTTAAGCCTGCTACTAAGAGATCAAGACTGTGCCATTAGTAAGGGGTTTTCAGAACCAGTGAAATTCCACTTTAAACAGAAGGTCAAGGACAATCGGACCAGCCCACAATGTGTGTACTGGAAAACACACAACAATGACGTGTGTAATCACACCGAATCCAATAGTGAAAACAGGTGGGGGTTATTCAGGAGTTGGATCTCCATGTCCAGTGATACAATTCAATGTTAATCAAGTTCAATATTCTGAAAAGGAAATTTAATGGTGTGGAAAAAGTACCAGTTCATCAAAGAAAAAATTGAACAACTTTATACTTGTATTTTTTACATTTTAATTTTCAGTTGAAACATGATATGTTTGGCTTGGACAGCTCAGTGAGTTTCATTATTATTTTTACAGCTATCTTGGTCAGTGGTCAAGTGAGGGCTGTACTGTAGACAGAAGATATGAAGTTGAGATCACAGGTCAAGGGTCACAGGTCTCAAAAGACATGTATGTGGTCTGCTCCTGCAATCATTTGACTTCTTTCTCCATTCTTATGGAAGTGGCCGATTCAGAGGTAAACTCATTTCATTGGCTGAATTTATCATAAATTTAATTTATTATATTTTAGAATAGAAATGTAACAAAACAATAAATTATTATCTATTTATTTTACAGTATACAGCTAGGGCTGTTATTTCCCTGGCCATCTTCAGCTTTGTGGGGATTGGGATATCGTTGGTCTGTCTGTTTGTGTCCTTCGTCATCTTCTGTTCCTTTAAGCGCCTGCAGTGTAACTCTAACAGCATCCTGATCAACATTGTGTTCACCCTATTTGTGGCAGAGCTCGCCTTCATTGCAGGAGTTTACCGCGTCTCTAGCAAGGTGGGAAACAATGGGGTCTTCACCAATTTAATAAACTCCATTTTACAAATCTTAGTACAGTGAAACTTCTCCAAACCGGCCCCCCTGGAAACCGGTTCTCCCTGAACATCGGCCGAATTTATAAGTCCCGGCAAAATTCTTAACATTTCTTTACACATAAACTCTCATAAAACCGGCCACCCCTGAAAACCGGGCACCGGCCACTTTTCCAAGAACAAAAGTTAAGAAACATAAGAAATTTCCCCTCATCTTACCGGCCACTTTTGATTGCAAGAAATATAACTGTCATTAAATTGGCCAGAGGGGTAATAATGACCGGCCGGAGGGGTGAAAAATAGCCTACCCACCAGAATTCAGAGGTGTGAAAAACTGAAATCGCCTCGTTGGGTTTTCTATTGTTTAACAATCTTGAAGGGGTAGTCATCTTGACTACGTAAATTCTAAGTTGAGAACATATGATAAAGCATCAATTAAACTTGAATTAATAAAATATCAAGCAACTAGTGAGTTTAAATCACAGAATGAATCAACAAATTATCGCACACCATATTGCATCATCTCTTTAAATACACATAAGAGGCCTTAGAATTGGACACTGTTAAAACATGCAAAGAAAGAAAATCAAATAAAATGTTTATCAAAATATAAATTTCATAAATAAAATAACAGAAGTTTTGCTCAGAAATGTTTTAATTATTTACTTTTCACTTAAGTAAAAACAATTTTTTTAATGACGTAAGCGATAGACAGATATGGCAATGTCTTACAGGATCTGGTTTATTTCTCACACAGTTTGATAAAAGTAACTTTCCATGTTCTTTCTGTTCTTATTTAGATTTTTTTGATTTTTGTAAAAATCAGCATGTATGTCGAATTTATCCTCACTAATAATAATTTATATTTTTTTTAAAAACCTTTAGCATACATTACGTAATTAATAAATGTTGACAGATAATCATAACAGACACCAATTATATATTTTTCCTAGCATCCATCACATAGTTCTGCAATTCTTCAGTCTATTAGATTCTCAGGAAACCGGCCACCCCTCTAGTCCGGCCATTTTAATCAGTCCGGCAGCTGGCCGGTTTAGAGAAGTTTTACTGTAGTATGCTTAGTGTAGACAAAGCATGAGTGATTTTCTTTTCTATGTATATGAAATAATAATATTGATTTTAAGTATTCTCAATTTGGTTCAACTTGTGAAAATATATTTGCATCATCATGGGTCTATAGACCATGACACTGCAACATTCCTGGTATTAAAATTATCAGTAAGATATTGAAGATCAAATGTATCTTCTAAGTGAAATGCCTTCTCTTGAGAGTGGAGGCTTGAACAGGGAACTCCTCTCTCAAAGATCTATTATCTCACAAAGAAAACAGTTCTTACAGTATTGATTTATAAGGTCATCTGATTTCTTTTTTTACAGCTTATTTGTCGATTGGTTGCGATTTGTCTCCATTACTTTTACCTGGCTGCGTTCAGTTGGCTGTTTGTGGAGATGTTACATTTATACAGACGACTGATTGAAATCAGGGACATTAACTACGGCACAATGAAGTTCTACTACCTGCTGGGTTACGGTAAGTCCTTAACAGAAAGCAGTTTCATAAAGTATTGATTTAGTGATTATTTTTATGCCCCACCATGAATAAGGCCGGGGCATATAGTGTTTGTCATGTCCGTCTTCCGTCCTTCTGTCTGTCCTTCTGTCACACTTTGCATTTAGCTCAGTTCAAAGATAAGTTTCAAAGAAACTGTCCAAGATATTTTCATCAAACTTCATATGCTGATAGATATTGATGAGAACTATGCAACTGCATCAACATTTTTTGACCTTGACCTTTCCTTTGACCTTGACCTCACTTTTCTTAAATTAGTGTTTAGCTCAGTTTTAAACATACCATTCAAGATGGTGTTATTAAACTTCACATGTTGATACAAGCTTGCACGAATGATGCATCTCTGGATAAACACTACCAGACTTGCTTCGGATGCTGGATCTGACCTATATTTTCCAGATGAGTGACCAAGTTAAAGTTTTTGGAGCAGGTCCATTTACAAGGAACTATAAGCCCTACCCAAACCAAACTTGCACGGATGATGCATCTAGGGATGGACACTACCAGACTTACTTCAGATGCTGGATCTGACCTATATTTTCATTCCCTAGTAACTATAGGACCTACCTGAACCAATCTTGCATGGATGATGCATCTAGGGATGGACACTACCAGACTTGCTTCGGAGGCTGGATCTGACCTATATTTTCATTCCCTAGTAACTATAAGTCTTACCTGAACCAAATTTGCCTTGATGATGCATCTAGGGATGGACACTATCAGACTTGCTTCGGTTGCTGGGTCTGACCTATATTTTCCAAACAAGCAATTCAGCTGCATTACTATTCAAGATATTTTTATCAAATTTTATACACATACAAATTTTCATTTTGCTTTACTAATATATCCTCGGCTGTGCATTCATGTCCTATGGACATATTTCTAGTATTTTTTCCATTTCATAAAATAGTTTAAGGGAAGTTGGAAATAGAATGAAATTGTTTGTATCAGAGGAACCCTTTGTAAAAATTTAATCTTTATGCGAGTAATACTGAAAGATTAAGCATTAAGTGAACCCTGAATAACTTGAGAATTTTCTAGAGTTTGATTAATATTAAAATTAATGTGTCAGTACAAAATTATTTAATCTTCACTATCTGTTTCAGTCATACCAGGCATCATTGTTGGTTTGTCTGTGGGACTGTACACAGATGGCTATGGAAATACCTCCTTGTAAGTATCCAAAATAATTTGACCCATCATTTTTGTGAATTTACATAAAAAAAACCTATTCATTGATTTCACTTTGTATTTACAGAGATATTCCTGTGGTAAAAGTAATTTGTTTTTATAACTCAGATGCTTTTGAGAATTTATTTCTGAAATTTGTTTCTAGGATTTTTCTGTTGGTATAATGATGTTATATAAATTACAATTCTATTTAATTACTAGAAGAAAATGGAATCCAGTAGAAAATAAATTATAGCGTAGAGGGAGTAGAATTATAAAAACTGAACTTTATCTTATGAATTTGCTAAATTTATTGATATAGAACATCGAGAAGTATTATATACATGTATGTCACAAAGTGTTTTTTTTTCTTTTTAGAGAAAGCTTACTTTATTAATAACTATTTAGTGAGTTAAGGACTTGAGAAGCTGATTTTCATTTTAAAAAATCAAGTAGATGAAGTACTCAGTACATGGCTATATTTATGCAAAAAAAAGTTAAATTTGGTTTTATTTTTTAGTGTTATTATTTTTGTTAATGTCAATAGACTGACTGTGAGTTCTCTGTTTTAGTTGTTGGATGGACATTTCTGAGACCTTTATCTGGAGTTTTGCCGGCCCAATCGCTGTTGTCATCCCGGTAAGTGAAGTATACCAATACTCGTATATATACTGTAAATCACTTTTTATTTGCGAGAACTTTATTTTCGTATAATAGCTCGCGAAAATTTCATTCTCACGTATAATAATATTCCTTATGATTATATGGAAGAATAACAACAATTTGTGAAAATTATGTCTCGCTAATAAAGAGTCAATGACTATCTCGCAAAAAAAAGGTATCGTGAAAATTTCATGATCTATAGTAACCTGTCATAGTTCTAATTTAGCTCCTTTCTCGTAAACTTGATGTTATTATTACATGTATTTGGTAACAACTGTGTTAGCTAGCTGGCAAAGTACCTTGATTATGGCATTTAATTAATTTGTACGGTTATATTTGTTTATTGTGAATAAATTTCCTGATTCCAGGCCATCATCTTCATGTTCACACTGGCACTACATTCTAGTTGTAAGGAGAAAGTCAATGTTTCGGACATAACAGCTTTCAGGTAACAATATACATGTATATTTTATTCTTTTGAACTGAACTTAGTAGTTTTTTTGTCTCTTATAATACCAAGAAAGATTTTCATTTTTTGTTACAATTAAGGAATGAAGAAATCACAAATTTTTTTCTCAAATAAAGATAGGCATTTTCATGTTAAAGAATTATTAAAAATAATTACAGGACCCGGATTTTCTCTGGTGTGATATTACTGCTACTGTTGGGAATCTCCTGGATTCTGGGACTACTTTCTGTGAACTATGACCTGCAGCCATTACATTATGTCTACGCAGCATTTGCATTCCTACAGGGAGCTTTTGTATTCCTAGCCTATGTTGTTGGTGACAAAAAGGTAAGATTTAAAAGTGCCAAATCCTAAAAGTGTTAACAGTTCAAATTGAGATAAAGAAAATTTCTAAAACTTTCGTAAAATGAAAATATTCAATATTTTTAATAAATCGTTTTTATCCCATTTGAATATATACTTTGTCAATATATTAAGAAGAAGACTTGTATATCTTGAAGGATTGATAAAATTAATGTAAGTGTTGGGGGAAAAAAACCTCAATATCACCAGCAAAATGGAATATTTTTTTATTTCCTGTTAGGTGCGTTATAACCTGAAGAAGCAGTGGTACAAAATGCAAGGAAAGAAGCTGGATCCTGATGACTCAGTGGTGGGAAGCAGACCTTCCATCTCAGTAAGTGATCAAAAGGATTTGCTACAGCTTTAAAACTGTATTAAAACTCTGAAGAAATACTTAAGATTTAAGAGTTGTTAAATTTACTTTATGACATGTTTATGGTATTTTTTTTGCTTTTCATGGTTTTGGTGCTCGGAGCTTTTACTTAAATGGACATTAAAAGCTTTTGGATATTTAATGCCCTTTAATAAATGTAACTTTGTTCTTACGATATTGATCAAACCAATTTATCTTTTTAACAGAGGTCAGCCCTGGCCTATAGACGAGACTCTTCCATTGACGGCTACATAAACAGGACAAATGTTGGGATCTCCACCACATCCACCACTTCTAGATCCACCAGTAAGAGCAGCGGGGGGCTGTATAAAGGGGAGGACTATCTACGCAGCACCGACACCTCTACCTCAGGACACGCCCCCTCCTACGCCTATGATAACTCGTACCACCAGAAGTCAGGGGAGGGTTAGTACATTGTAACATAATAGTAGATGAAGTAGTTTAAGAACTTGAGAATTTTTTACTACAATTTACATATCTTATACCATATAAGTGGAATTTTTAGCGAGATGCAAATTTAGCGATTTGTCCTTAAAAATCTGGTAATTTATTTTTAGCGAGATGTTATTTTAGCGATTTCAAAATGCACATTAAAGAAGCTATTACAAATAAAACGCAATTAATTTTTAGCGATATTTAATTTTAGCGATCTCGGCACCCTCGCTAATAATGCCAAAATTAAATTCTCGCTAAAAATTCTACTTATATGGTATTCTCTTTTAATATTCTTGATGTAACATTCTTATTTAGCAAGATTGCATCATTTTATATAGAAGATCACTTTTTGGAATTGATTTAAACAAGGTTCATGATTTTGATTAGCTCCATTGATATACAATATTTCTCTTTTTCAGATGAAGTACCAGAGAGAAGATCCCGTTGTAAACACAGAAATCCTGACTCGGATTCTGAGAGTGATGTGTCTGTCGGTCAGGCCAGTATAGAGCTGGCCTCCAGTCACTCATCAGATGAGGACGACGACTTCGATATCGGACCATCATGGGAGAAACAACTGCCAAAAAATCAGAAGATTGGTCAGTTGGACTGAATGAAATAATGCTGTGAAACCTTAAAAAAAATGTTTTGTAAATTAGCACAAGCAAAACTTTTCCTGTCTGTTTGCTATAGAATAATCTCTAAATTATTACAAGGAATAAAGTTAACAAAAATATTTCTGTCTTTACAGAAGAAGCCAAAGAACAAATGAAGAAAAAGCAGCAAGAACAGAGTCAACATCAGGACTCAGAACAACAACAAAACCAACAGAATCTGAAGCATTTACACACAGGTCAGCAGGGACGTAGCAACAGGGGGGCCTCTCCCCCCCCCCCCCCCCCCACTTTTTTTGCCAAAAATACTTTTACTATTGAAAATGTTCATTGAAAGGCTGGTTGCCCCCCCCCCCCCCCCCCCCCCCCCACTTTATACTTAAGCAAAGTAATATGAAGGAAATATAGTATTGTTTAGCTTAAGAAATGAATATTGAAAGGAATTGGTAGTGAAAAAAGTTTGCCTCTACCCCCCACCCTCCCCTCGAAATAGGATTTTTGACTTTGGGCAACTTTCCTTTAGTTTTTTTTTTTTTTTTTTTTTTTTTTGCTTGTCAACTTTTTCAGGTAAGTGAAAAAAAAAATTCTGTGGCTGGCCCCCCACTTTCAAAGTCAATGCTACGTGCCTGGTCAGTCTAACAGTAACAGTGATTTACAGTTATAATGAGTCATACAAACAATTCGAAGAACAAGAAAACTGCAGATAGTACTGAATCAATTTGATCAGATAATATTTATTACAGGCCCCCATTTGTACACCACACTTCCCAACTACGGACACTGGCCAGGTGACCCAAATCTGTCAGGGTTCCACATGAGTGAATCTGATTATCAGCAGACCGTATCCAGCAATCCACCCGATGTCACGCTTCCTGCTCAGCAAGAATTACAAGGTATCCGTCGGCAGAGGAATATTCTGCTTGGCACATACGGAATCTATCGCTAAACATGAACAGATATGTCATTCTAGTGGGGTTGACATTTAAAGCATATAATGAATATAAGCAATTTGATTTAGAAAAAATATTTGAATATTACCGCCAGAGGAACATTCTGCTTGGCACATACGGAATCTATCACTAAACATAAACATCTTCAATAATTAAAAGAAGGGAGTCAATGTAAAAGTTTAAACATTTTGATTTTTAAAAATGGCATAAATAGACAATCAAATGCTAGTCTTAGAGTGGTGTTCATTGAATTCCATACATAAAGAGCCATCATCCTCATAGTTTTCCTTATTGTCTCACCTTGTACATAAAGCATATGACTATTTTATTTCTGTTATACGTTATACATATTGTACCTATTTCAGAAGGTTGTTTATAAATGTATATCTTTTGTGTTGTACACGTTAATATATTTATTGTGTTATAATTGTGCTTTATGTGTTGTTTACTTTTTTGTACAGATATTTGTGTAAATATTGAATCTAAAGTGCTTTATCAGCTAACAGTGCCATTAAAATTTCCTTTTTTTATACGCCCGTCTTTAGACGGGACGTATTATGTTATAGGCTTCGTGTCCGTCCGTCTGTCCGTCTGTTAGCTTTTTCGTTTCCGGCTCATAACTTTAATACTATTAGGCCTAGGATTATCAAACTTTGTCATCTGATGCGTCTTGGGTAGAAGGTGTGTTGCGCACAAAAAGTAGGTCGCTCTGACCTTTAATTAAGAAGTTATAGCCAAATATGGAAAAATCCTTTCCGGCCCATAACTAGAAAACTATTAGACTCAGAGTCATCAAACTTGGCCAGTTTATGCATCTTAGGTAGAAGGTGTGTCGCGGCCTATTTCAAGGTCACTGTGACCTTTAATTTAAGTGAATTTTTTAAAAAACTAAGTCTTTAAAATTTTAAATTTCATAATCCTAAAAAATGTAAAAATATAGTTGTATCCTTGTTTAAAATGTTAAATCAAGTAAAAACTTATTTTTTCATTATATGCTTTACAGCAATCTGTAACAAATGTTAATGTTTTGAGAGGAATTCAGTGTGTCCCATGGGCATAATTATCAAGCACTGGTCAAGAAGAATTTTGATAGCAGAAATAGAGAGAAATTAATGAGTTTATTGTCAGGAGCTAAGTGGTAGAGCATATCTCTGAAAATGCAGCTGTTATCTTTATCTTTAATCTCTTGGGAGTTGGGCAAAAAGAAATGGCCTCATAGTTGCTTGTGTTAATTAAGAGTTCTTGATGGCTAGTTCAGAAAAAGATCTTTCAATTGGTGTAATGTAATTAAAACAAATTGATGCTTTAAAATACAGTGTATGAAAAAAACTAATTTACTATTGTATAATATAATTAAAACTAATCCTTATGAAAAGATGTTAAATTAAGTAAAAACTTATTTTTTCATCATATACTTTAACAGCAATCTGTAACAAATGTTAATGTTTTGAGAGGAGAAATTCAGTTTGTCCCATGGGCATAATTATCAAGCACTGGTCAAGGAGAAGAATTTTGATAGCAGAAATTTGCATGACAAATTAGAGAGAAATTAATGAGTTTATTGTCAGGAGCTAACTGGTAGTCTAACCATAATCTCTGATCATGCAGCTGTCATCTTAATTTTCCTCTTGGGAGTTGGGCAAAAAGAAATGGCCTCATAGTTGTTCGTGTTAAGAGTTCTTGATGGGTATAGTGCAGATAAAGATCTTAAAACAAATTGATGTTTAATGTGTGATTAAAACTTAATTAGTATTGTATAATATAATGAAAACTAATTATACATGTGTTCATTGAAATAAAATTACTGGGGTACATTTCAATTTTTATATATTTGCAACAAATTGCAGTCACCATGCCTCACTTAGAATTTTATAGTCTAAAGAATAATTAATTTTTGATTTTTTTTATTAGACTGTAGCATTTCCAATATTCCATTAAATATGCAATAAACAATTTAAGCTGCATATGGATATTTGTTAAGTTCTAACACAGCCAATTTAGAATTATATGATGTATTATTTGTTATAATTAATCCCTACACTGTAAGTCTCTTAGAGATGTATGTACAATATTTTAAACATGATAAGAAATGGAAATTAGATCATTGAAATCTGTGTCAATCTGTTAATCAAGGTAATCTGATTTTCTTGCACCTTAACCAATTTATGATTGTTGAACAATATATTTGACGGGCGTATCATGCTGTGGCGGGGCACTTTATTTTTTTTTTTGGTGATAACTTTTGCTCTCTGTAGACTGTGATGCAGGCTGCTATTGTTGTTTGTTGTACGCTTTGTTGTCTATGTTGTAGGACACAGAGATTACATTATACCCCCTATCCGTAAGGACAGCCTTGTAGCTGATCCAACCACCTCCCCCCGGAGTCCCTATATTCTACCCCCTCCCCCACCTGAAACTCGGATGAAGGTTCAGGTCTTAACTCACAATGGCAGTATTTCTTCTGAATCAGAGTAAGTTTATCTCATAGTAGAAGTGCTGTGTACCTAATAGGAGAATTAAGAGATTTTTACATAGTGACGATCATATAGAAAAGATAAAAGTAAAATATAAACTAATTAAGTGCATGTACTTGTAGTATGCAAGGCAAAATCTTATGGAATAAATATAATTCCAAAGGTGAATTTTTTTAAGGAAAATAGTGTTAGATCAATATTAAAAGTTACTGAACTCTCTTTACAAATGTTCATTTACACCAGTCAAAACTTGAACAGAATTGAACTACTTTGTAGAAAATAATACGCTTAATATATAATAAATGAGAATAAATATTTTAATACAAATTGAAAAATACATAAATATACTATTCTCGGTAGTGTTTCTCAGAATTACAATAGACTTTTACTAATTTATTAAACAATTGCACTCTTTATCTGTTATTAATTGACAATCATAAAATCTCCTTGCTAGTCCTCATTATATCAATTTTGTTCAGATATATCTATTCTAAAATGTTGTTTGCATGAAGTATATCTAATAATCTTTGACTTTGCATGAGGTTGCATGAGTTTAGATATTTTATTTTGTGTATTTCAGATGCAGTGATGAGACTACAGTCTGACACCCCTGCCGGATCCTCTCCCCATTCCATCCATCATTAATCATCTAATCAACATCACATGTTCTGATTAATCAAAGCATAATATCAACGCATGTTTTAGTTTTATCACAAATATTAGTTAATTCATTCCAATTTTTCATTCCACATTTTTTTACTTATAATATTGTAATGTTTATAGCCAGTTTATCTTCATGAACATTATTGCTTGATATTTTCTTTCATGTGTTAAATGATTTATATTATTTTTGTCATTTTATATTCTATCTCAGGACGAGATCTGTTTTATAACTAGAGTTTTAAACTTTGTCTACAATATATGTTTCTTCCAATCACAAGAGAACATTCCAAAAATTCCAGTATATGCATAATAAAATAGCTTTAATGTCACTAGCATTGGTCTTTGACAACCAGCGTTATTATACATTATGCATTTGATGTTTTGATCACATTTATAAGAATGTACAAGGAAAAATGGCAAAATGCTTGCTTGATCAATGAATTTTTTTAAATTTGCAAACAGTGCACAAAAAATTAAAAATTTAATGTCTTGTTGTGCCAACAATGTGAGATAATATTGTTCAGAATATACATGTGTGAATGACAGCAAAGTCACTAAGGTCTGAAACAGAATTTAAACTATATCAATTAATACACAAACATCATCTGATACTTTATAATATAGTGCCATAGCATTATCTTTGCAAATTTCAGAGACTCATGGATATAAAACACACTCTTTTAATGCACAACTCATTTGTAAAAATATCAATAATTCAGTAATATATGAGAAGTATATAAGCCCTTGAGTTATCATGTCCCAAAATCATTAGATCTGTTAATGTATTTGATCTCAGTTTAGCGAGGGGATAGAGTATAAATATCTCCGGTGGAGAATACATATACTACACGTGTATCATGTCCTTTTAGACAGATTTGTGCTTAGTGTGATATGTATGCAATGTTTTTTTGTTGATTTTCAAATGAATATTTTGAAAGAACTTTAAATCGTTTACAATTAAATCAATGAAATATACAGCCAACATTATATGCATCAAAATTGTACCAATTTTTCATTACACATTTTTTTATAAGAAAAATTAGTATTAGAAAATTTAATGAGCAAAAACCAGTTAAGGTAAATGCATTCTTTTGTATAATACACAAATTTAGCAGATCATTGAATTCCATATAAAACAGTTGCAACAGACGTGGAAACATTTTACTGAATTAAACATTAATAAATAGTATTATTTTCATGCTGGGTTTCTTGAACACATCAAGAGAATTCATCAAAAGCAAATTTCATATATTTTTTTGCAATATTTAAGACTTTAATACATGTAAAATTGCTCATAGAGTAGGTTCATTACTTGTAAATTTTACATATTAGATTACCTTTCCATGTAAGCAATATTAAATATTTGAGATGTTTTCTTAAATAGCTTTAACATTCCATTTGATTGGGATATTTTTTTTATTATCTACACAAAGTAAGCCTGCCTTGTTGAATGTCTGTGATTTTATGTGTACAAAGAAAGAGGTATAATTGTATTGTCACCTACAGAATTTGTATTTATTTTTGAAGTTTTATTTGATTTGTATAGATCTTTTGTCATTATTTTGTAGAAAGAATGTGAGACTTTTTCTTTTATAAAGTCGGCCAATAAATAAGAACAAAACTTTGAGTTGACTTTTCTGAAGTATTTTGAAATGAAGTGCAAGAACAGAAGCAAGAAATGGAGATTAAACATCTTCACAAAAGAACATAATTCAAAACTTCATTTTTAGCTCACCTGAGCTGAAAGTTCAAGTGAGCTTTTCTGACCACACATCATCCGTCTGTCTATAAATTTTTCACATTCCA